TAGGTGAAAATGATAAAAAAATGCTGGCAGTGGTTTGCAACTTAAATAAAAATGCTGGCAGGGAGAGTTAATTTTGTTTTGTTGTTTATTTTGTCATTAAAGTTACATTAACCTTCTTTCCCTATAATTAAACGTTGTCGAAACCCAATTAACTAATTTAACATCACTTCTGATCAGACTGAAGAAAACGCATCTTAAAAGCAGGTTTAAATGGGGTTCCTGAGTGTGTGCCTATAACATCACATCAGAGATCTCAGGCTGTAGCTTGAACGTTTGGATTGCATCAAACACTCGCGCCTGCACTTCATCTTCCCCATTTGTTTTTGAAAGGTAAACACTTTATAAACTGGCACCTCCGTTGTTAACGTTAACATTTTCCAGCCATTAATCCATCGGAACCACCATACAACCATCCTTCATGCTCTCAGACAAAAAGGGTCCTCGGCTCACTTTAGCGCGTAACAACCTCAGAAAAGTCATTCACAAATTCTCATTAATTTGCGCATAATTTGACACGGACCTGTTGGAAAAGACAAAGAAACGCCATCCGTCTTTGATCAAGGAACACTTTCATTTGCACCTTGTCTGTAAAAAAGAGACAAGAGTTTTGTATGCTGAAGAAAGACTAGCTTAGTTTAATGAGTAACGGAACGCTGAGGATAATTGCTGATTGACAGTTACACAAAGCGGAGAAAGGTTAGCAATGACGTAACCAGTACCAGCAATACAATGAGCTGAAGTGTCAGAGAACCTGCCCTTTCTATGCCAGTCTCACATGGGTTTCGCTAAGGTTTGTTAAGGTTGAGAACGAAGTGTATAAATGCCTTTCAATCAGTATGAAAGCACAGTGTCTTTCAGGATGGCAGGTGAACATGACCTGTCAAGAAGGTACAGCTAATTTTCGGCTACTCATGTGTTGACTGAACTGACGCAATACAGATTTCATCATCCTATTCAACGGTGTTCACGACTCTGTTCGGCTCTGTTCACATAAAACTTTTGTAAAAATGTTGCATTTATCCTGTCACAAAATGAGTCACGTTGTGTTCTTATTATTTTATTATAAAAGATTGATAACATTTCTTCCAAAAAAATGTCCTTTAGAGCATTTTTTACTTGCTGATGCTGATCAGAATGACAAATGTTTTCCTTTGTACAGGTTTTTATACTAAATACTGATGTCATATTCACTTGGAATACTTTACAAAAAAGGTGGTAAATGTATATGTATTTATTAACATGTGTAAACAATAAACAATACCTTTATTACAGTGTTCATTAATCTTTGTTAACATCAGTTAATGGAAATAAAGTTGTTCATTGTTAGGTTTTTTTTTAACTCAAAGTGCATTAACTAATGTTAGCAAGCACAATTTTGGATTTTAATAATGCATTAGTGCAGGGCCGGAGTGGGACTCCTTTTCAGCCCTGGAGTTTCAAGCCATAGACCGGCCCACTTCAGCTCAAGACTGACTATATTAAATTACGTCATTTCCAATTCAGTTTCTAATGACACGATCACGTCTTTTTCAAGGAAACAGCTGCTTTAGAACTTCAAATGTTTTTCATAAATATGAGAACATTAAAGGGTAGCTAAATCTCCGGAACTGTTCTTTAAAACATCACAATGTCCTTTCCTGCAATATCTGTATATTCTGTGGAAAATTCTTTATAGATATCCAGTCCTTTGTAACGGTGGTCCCACAAAAATAAAAATAAAATATGTACACCTACATAAGTAACCCAAACAGTATTATATGTCTTATTAAATAAATAAATAAATAATAATAATAAAAATTTACTCAGCTGAGGTTTAAACTGGGGTCCACGGTGTCTTAACACAACTTGCTGACCACTGACCCACTGTTATGCTGATAGGTTTGGAAGAAAAAATAAGTATTGAACTGTTATCTACAAAACTCTTTTAACCACAGTATTATTTTCTATTGATGGCTTAATCTTTTTCTCCGCTTTTTACATTTCTGATCAAGTTATGCCAGATTTATTAATGAATCATCTGATTTAAATTAAGCAGGTGTAACATTCGTTAATATTAATTATTCAAATTCTTATTTTCAATAAGGTGCCGCTGTTTGGGGTTGAATGATAGTTACATCATCATTAACCTGCAGGCTGCATTTCTCACGGGGCTGCGAGAAAATAAATAAAAAGAGCGGAGCTGAGGCAAAATAATGAATAAAAGAGTGAGGCTATGGTCAAATCAATAAATAAATGAAAAAAAGTGTGACTGCTGAGAGTGCAAGCAGTTAGGGACACCGGCCCTCCCAGCCAAAAAAACGGACCGGCCCACCGGGAATTCTCCCAGTCCTCCCGATTAGCCAATCCGGGCCTGCAATAGTGGTTTCAAGCAATTTTAATCTACTAGAACTTCTATGTTAAGCTGCTTTGACAATCTACATTGTAAAAGTGCTACAGAAATAAAGATGTATAGAACTGAATTAGTAAATGTTGAACTATGATTAATAAATGCTGTACAAAATCAATCATACTTAATTCATGTTTGTAAATTATTTTAAATCTTACCCATAATTCTTCTAGTATAAAACATTGTATTTGTGTCCAAATTTTATGTATGAAAACATAAAACAAAAATACAAAAAAGTGTATGTTTTATATAATATATTATATTTTAGAGTAGTTTAGAGATTATTATAAAAAGTAAGAATTATTCATAAATCCTAAATGTAAAAGAAAATCCTCTTTTTAGATTAGAATTTACATTTTTAATCTAATATATTGCAATTAAGATTTATTTGATTTCATGAGTTTCATGCTAATGGTCTAAACCAGGGGTGGGCAAACTCTTTCCTGGAGGGCCGGTGTCCTGCACATTTAGCTCCAACTCTAATCAAACACACCTGCTTATAGATTTCTAGTGATCCTGAAGACACAGATTAGCATGTTCAGGTGTGTTTGATTACTGTTGGAGCTAAACTATGCAGGACATCGGCCCTCCAGGACCGAGTTTGCCCATCCCAAATGGAATCAATAATTTATGCTAAGCTAAGCTAAAAGTGCTCTCGCCAGACCTAGAAATCGACTGAATGGAATCAAAATAGGTATATTTCAGCTGTTATTGTTTTTTATAAAATTATTACACTTTCTTCTTACTTTTATTCCAGATATTTATATACAGGAGAGAAAGTTGACCAGAGAGTGCAATAATTTTCCAGTTTAAAGCTTGACTCTGCTGTGGTTACATCGTTTTCTATGAGACTGATGAAAAATTAAAAGTTGCTAATGAGCTAGATGCTAATGGTCTAATCCGATTCAATTATTTATGCTAAGCTAGGCTAATAGTGCTTCCGCCAGACCCGGAGATGAGCTGAATGGATTCAAAAAAGGTCTATCTCAACTGTTTTTGTTTAGCAGAAAATAACTAGTTTACTTTCTTCTTTCATTTTATTTCTTACATTTATATACAGAAGAGAAAGTTGACCAGAGTTTTGATGATTTTTTATTTTAAAGCTTGACTATTCTGTAGTTGGAAAATGAAAAGTTGCTAATAGTGGTGAGCCAAAGAACAGTGAAGTCATACGTTTGCAAATCTCAGGACTGAATCTACTCTATGTACTTACTGCCACCTGTATTGAAGAATCTCACGGTTTTGTTTTATCAGTTTGAGATTTTTTCCACAGATTAAGGTCATGTCTGGTTTATCTGAGCTTTTCGCTCACGTGGAACGGTCATGGGTCCCTCTAGGACAATTTTGTTGTACCAAAACGGTTCGTATTAATGATTGTGATCTCTGTGTGTAATCCAGGACTTGTTTTTGATGCAGAGATTAGGGAATCGTTTCGAATAGGACTGCAGGATTACGCTGGATTAAAGCACTTTTCTTTACACAGAGTCACTTTTCTGAGCCCATTGATTCTTTTGAAGAATGAACGTGATAAGAACGTGATAATTGGCTGGAGGTTGGATTGTACCAGTTTTTTTTACCTGGCAAAGTAAAAGGTAATAGGAATATCTTTTTTAAATGATGGGGAAATTGATATCTTGTTCGCAAAGGAACTCAAATTCAGGAAAAAAAATCCTACATTATTTCAGTCCATTATGCCCTGTTTTTTTAACCATTTTCATAGGGTAAAATTATTGTACTGTTTATTTATAATTACATTCATTAATATGAATCACTGTTTTGAATGAACTGTTATTGGTATATTTTTTGAAATGATTTATTTTTTTATTTAATTTAAGAATTAGCTCCTATTTTAGTTTTAGCACTTCAATATATTTTATTTTTATTAATTTGGCGTGGAGATATTTTTCACTTTTAAACTTGCCTTTTTAATCTAGTAGATTCAATTTAGGTTTATTTAATTTCATGATTAAGAAAAAAAATACAAGTTTTAAAAAGTGGCAGAGAAAGTTGATATTACTATAATTTTTTATTGAAAATCTGAATTAGATTTTATTAGATATTACATGCTTTCTGTTTTCAACTGAAGTTATTATTAATTTAATAATTCATTTGTATTTTAGTTTTGGCACTTCAATAAACTTTATTTCATTTATTTACGTTTTTTACATTTGTAAACTTGCCTTTATAATCTTGCATATCGTGTTGCAGATTTATCTGATTTCATGATTAAGACAAACTATATATTTATTATGATGTGTTCACATCAGACGCGACACAAGGGAATAAATCAGGCTATTTGCATGCAAATATCGTATGACATTAGTGTTTTAAATTCGCTGTATTCAAGTCAAATTCACTTCACAATAGAAGTGGATTCACGTCATGTAATTGTTTCCTGCAATTGCAACTTAATTACAATTACACCTTAATTGTTTTTGTTCAATCCACTTAAATTTGGTAAAAACAAAACAAAACAAATGTTAACTTAATTTCTTCATGTTGTCCCAACACAAATCGGTTGTGTGGAACCCAGCATTTTTTTGTGTATGTAGTCTCAAACACATATTTTTGACTAAACCATGCATCAAATTTTAAAATTAGTACATCCTCTTACCTTCCTCTTAGCACGTAGCTGTCCAACATAATTGTCCGACGAGTCTCCAGGAATCTCTCCTCCCCAAAGTGTAACCCCGACTATAGTGTAGGTGATGCCCATCACCACTAGGGGCAGCATGTAGACCAGCACCGTCACTATGATGTGATACCTGCACAGGTGTGAAGCCAACAAAAACAAGTTGTAAAAAAAAGTGCCCCAAAAAATGATAACGCCAAGTAGCTAATGCTTAGGGTTGGATATTTAGACAATCAATTAGGATGGCGAGTCTGTTTACTCTTCTCACACACCATTTGGTCACTGGTAAACAGGTAATGTGTTTGGTTTTCGGCGTTTCTCGCCTCACTGCCAGATGGCACTTAGTGTAAAGAAAGATAGCAGAAAATGTAAAGCCAGAAAGAGCAATACCAATATTTGAGTGGAAGTACATGCTGTTCATAAATCACAATCAAGCAGAAGAAACGCCAATCAAGCATTGAGAAATTCATCAGAGAAAAACCTCGCATCTGGCTTCTGAATCCTCAGCGAAATCCACCTTATTAGTGATTGATTTGGGGCTTTTTGCAGGGGAATAAATGTCTTACATGAATGAATCCTCAGCCGGTCTTGGCCAGGCGACGTAGCAAATGGTTCTGCGAGGCATGGTTCTCGTGGTGGAGTAGAAACACAGCGGGAAAGCCAAAATCACTGCCAGTGCCCAAATACAGACAATCACCACTTTAGTAGCCGTGGCTGACAGACGAGGCTTCAGAGGATGTATTATGGCCATGTACCTGCAAAAATGGTGAGATGTTAAGTTAGACTTTGAGCGACAGGTATTTTAAAGAATGCACAGAAAAGATGTCTTATAAAGACCAAACTTTAATAATTGCATTTTCCCCTTCATAGATAAGACGTTCTCATATGCTGTTTACACTTTGAGCTATTTACAGTGCACAATATTTGAACATGAAAATGTAGTTTCGTTTTTTTAACACCCTGAACTCATTATTATTCCCATTCAAAAGGGTTAAGTTGCATTAATAGAGTATTGCCGGCTGTTTTACAGATCTAAGATATTTTTCCATCCACCTATTTTAGGATTATCACATAAAAAATGTGCAAGATGAGCATACATTTTGAAAATACACATAAAAAACATAAGTGAGTAGGATAAACTTTGTAATTGATAAGAAAAAATGTGCATAAACTATATGGAAACACTTTCCCCTTAAAATTACACCATAATTTACTCACACTCCTGGCACATCCATGCTATAATAATGATGTTGTAATATTGGCCATATTTCAAACTTTTAAAATCTGTCATAAAACTAACTCAAATGCCACAAGAATCATATATTTCACAAATAAACACACACACACACACACACACATATATATATCAGGAGTTTAAACTGATATGGCTTTAAAATGCATGTAGATTCTTAGTTTGTTGCTGTCGAAGAGACTGAGACACAAGCCGTAAAGGCCCACTCTTTTCCCCTCATTTGCATTTAAAGAGACAGAAAAAAACAGTGATTTGCTTCACCCAAAAATTAACATGATGTTTTAAAACATGATCTGTAGGGCTTTAACTTTTCAAACACAACGTTCTAGGAATACTCAAGTGTTATATAAAAACAAGAAATGTTTACAGATCACATAGAGTTTTTGCTCTAAGGCACCTAAAATGAATGCTTATGTTTAATAATGTTAAAATAATTTTTCTTTATAGAATTATGTAACGACAGAATAATTAAATCTATGATGCAATACGTTATCAGTATATCATTCATTTTTATTCGTTTTAACCATTAGCATGAAAATGCACAATTATTTGCAGCTGCAGATTACTGAACAACCACTGGTGTCACTAATAATATGCACTATCACTGGCCAATTAATTAGGAACACCTTACTAGAAACAGGTTGGACCCCCTTTTGCCTTCGGCACTGCCGTAATCCTTCATGGCAGAGATTCAACAAGGTACTGGGAAAGTCCTCAGAGATTTTGCTCCATGTTGACATGATAGCATCACGCAGTTGCTGCAGATTTGTCGGCTGTACATTTATGATGCCAATCTCCCGTTCCACCACATCCCAAAGATGCTCTATTGGATTGAGCTCTGGTGACTGTGGAGGCCATTTGAGTACAGTGAACTCATTGTCATGTTTAAGAAACCAGTCTGAGATGATTCGTGTTTTATGACATGGCAAGTTATCCTGCTGGAAGTAGCCATCAGAAGAGGGGTACACTGTGGTCATAAAGGGATGGACATGGTCAGCAACAATACTCAGGTAGGCTGGGGCATTGACACGATGCTCAATTGGTACTAATGGACCCAAAGTGTGCCAAGAAAATCGTTTTGAGGCAGCAGATCGTCTTGACCATGTCTACATGCCTAAATGCATTGAGTTGGCTGAATAGAAATTTGAGTTAACTAGCAGTTGGACAGGTGTACCTAATAAAGTGGCCGGTGAGTGTATAACCCATGTAAAATAGATAACAGATCATAACAAATATTAAGCCTGATTCATATTGTTTAATTTTATCTTAATGATCTCTGAAGAACTTTAGAGCATTCTCAGAATGAAGTACTTCTAATATACAATAGTTTATTGGAAAATGTTTCTGTTGCATTTTTTTGTCTGATTTCTAGTTCAAATATCTAAAAATTCTTAAATCAAGAAACATTATTTAGACAAGTAAAAAGCACTGTTTTGTTTTCAGAAATATGTCAAAATTATAGGGGTTAAGCAAACAAAATAATCTGCCAATGGGGTAAGCAAAATAGTCTTGTTTTTGCTTTAAAATATGACCCTTTATCTTACTTAATCACATCATTTTTACGTAATCACTTAATTATTTCTGAGAACAAGACAATATTCGTTATTTGTCTGGAAAATACATCTACATTTAAGAATCTTTAGATATCTGGACTAGAAACAAGACAAAAGAAAGCATTTTTTGCAGTGTATAGGAAGCATTTCAAACACCAATATTGGATTCTCCTACGTTTGTATGGTGTTAAATGAATGCTAATACGATTACAACAATTTAGTCCGTAAGACTCTGCGTCCTGTATGCTTCCTCAAATCAAAGTGTAACAAATGTGAGCGATTAATTTGAATAATCTGAGGTGTAACCTTTTGCTAATGGGAATGAATAGGTGAGCTAGCATATGTACATGAACACTTGCGCATGTGAAAGATTAGGAAGCAATGTTCTCCGGCTCCTGCACAGTCACAGACTGAGCTTGTAATCTTTTAATGAAGGAAAAGCCCCCCAATGCTCTGGATCCTGCTGATCTGTATCAAAGATCTCAGCTCATTAGATGCATTTATTTCCAACGGGATGTTATGAACTTTGCCTGTGTAATTCTGAAAATGGACAGGTTAACAGAATGAAGATAAAGAGATGTTTTGATGTTGCCATATATCGCTGCAGCTCACCTACAGGAAATGAAAGTTGCTCTTTTTCATTGCAGCTAAATGACAGAGGGATCAAATGGATGACGCTCGATTTATGAGCTCCCCCCGAGGAGGCTATGGATGGACATGCAGGAGGAAGGAAGTCTATGCTGGTGGTCCTTAAAAATCTGTTCCTCTCTATGTGCTTTTCAAGCCCAGCTGGTCAATTTTTCATTCATCACTAGATCAACAGGGTTCCCACACCTTCTGAACAATGAATTCTCATGACATTTTAAATCTTTAATGACACTTTATATAATTTCCTATTAAAAGAAAAATAAGTTGGCATTATAGTTCTGAATATTCAGCAGCAAAGATTTAACATACAGTCAAGCCTGAAATTATTCATAACCCTGGCAAATTCTGACCTAAAATTTTTGTTTGAATGTAAATAAAAACTGAAAAATATAATTTATTTCACAATGATGCTCTTGTACATCGTCTTAATATCTTATGGGAGAAGCCTGTGTCATTTTAGGTAAAAAAGAACTTGCTGGTCGAATAAAAGTTTATACTTTAACCTCCCAAGGTACTTTTTTTTACATGCATTTTTTTTATTTCTCTTTGCTATTTGGGCTTATTGGAACCTAATTAGAATAAAAACCTAAGTATCATCTTTTGATATGATTTACTTTTAGAAAAGAATTATGTCCATCCATATATGTTGACTCGTGGTCCGAATTTACATAAAACACTTTTTCCTGTTTTGTAATGCTCATTTAACATAGAAATTTGTTTAACATGCTTATCATAATTGATTATCAGAGAGTAAAAACAACATTTTCTCTCCCATTTGGACAGTTAAAAATAGTGTTTGGGACATTTCATATGCTGCAAAACAGTTGCAGGATGACACTGTATGTCTTTAACAAAATATAAAACATTCAGAGTATTTTAAATAGCCAATTAAGAGCTAAAATGTGCTGTCCACGTATTGTGGACACTCAAGTTCTAGAAGGTTAAGTCAGAATTTGTCAGGGGTATGAATATTTTCGGCCTTAACTGTATATTAATGATTTGACGGTGTTGATATTGCTATTTAACATGAAAATTAAATCAAAAGTGAATTCTGTCATCACTTACTCCCCCTTTACATATTTTAAACTTGAGTTTCTTACTTCTGTCAAACACAAAAGAAGCTATTTTGAAGAATGCTGAAAACCGGCAACCATTGACTTTCATAGTATGTGTTTTTTCTTCTATTAAAGTCAATGGTTACATATATTTTTTAGCTTTCTTCAAAATAGCTTCTGTTGTGTTCAACAAAATTAAGAAACACTTTAAGGTTTGAAACCACTTGAGGTAAAGTATAAGTGAGTAAAATTTTTTTTTTTTTGGTGAACTGTCCCTTTAAGGAACAGGGCAAGTCACTTTAGAGTCTGGTTTACATATTGTAGTGTATGTTAATAGAAAGACCACCAAACAAGTTAATTTGAATGATTTATTGATTTTTTTTTGTTTTTAAATAAAGACAATGCATTTACAGATATGCTAAAATTCATTCTATATATATATATATAGCCAACTTTGTCAACTAAAATAGTCCATTTTACAATAAAACTAAAAGGTACGTAATAGGTCTGACTAAAAATTGTACATGTCAACACAACCTCTCCTTTAATTTAGCAGTACAGACTGACTGTACCAGCACACAATTACATGTCGCTTTCAGGATATATTTGTTCCCTATTATTTTGCACATTTTTATTGAAAAGTGAGACTCAAATCAATAATTGTCAATAATTTAGAAGGGCTCTTAATTCTGACCTCAACTGTATATATATATAATTTTTTTTTAAAGATTAAACATTTTGACATGCCCTTGCAAATCCAGACTCAATGATACCATCCTAAGCACTGAATAATGCATGATCAAAATCTTTTAGCAATAATTAAGAGCCATATAAAGAGGGTCACCTGTCGACTGCAATCGCTGTCATGGAGTAAATGCTGGCAAACACGGCGGTCACAGGGAAGAAGTTGTGGAACTTGCAGTAAACCTCTCCGAAGTACCACTCTCCGTGCGTGGCGTAAATGAAGTTGATGAGCGTGTTGAAGGCGGCCATGGACGCGTCGGAAAACGCCAGGTTGAGCAAAAAATAGTTGGTGACGGTGCGCATCCGTTTATGGGCCAAAATGATCCAAATAACAATGAGGTTTCCGAACACGGCGACCGCGAGCACCGAGCTGTAAGCGACCGACCAGACGGCGACCCGCCACGGCGGCTGCACGAACTGATTTGTGAAATTACGCGTCACATTTGAGCCGCTCTGAGGACCAGCCATGGTAGATTTAACCGTGAAATCCTTCTTAAAATGTTAGGCTTTGGTTCTGGGACATTTAAAAACGCTTCTGTGGTATCTAGTAGCTATAGATCTGGCACGTCCTCGCGCGCATCGCTCCATCCAAAGTGTCCAAAATAGCGGTGACGCGCAGTCATGTCTCATGTATGACGGACGTCTGGAGATGCTGCTGCTCCGGCCACATGTTGCTTCGCGAATGAACAGGGAGACAGGGACAGGAGATTTACAATGGACTTGAAATAGCATCAGTTGTCATAGATGCGTCAAAACAATTCCAATGTGAAAAGACTTTTGAACAACATGAACATGAGTCATTCATTGCATTTCAGAATGTAAATAAGATGTGCACTTATATGTGACTATACTGCAATTAAAGCAAAATAGTTTGGTCTATGATTGTTCAGTGTGGACTACCAGCTCTAAAAACAAAGTATAATCCAGCTTCAGTTCCAAATCTTTCACATGTAAACATGACATTCATTCAGTTTTTTATTTTGGTGGAAAATAATTGGCAAATATTCAATTTCCTTTGGCTTAGTCCCTGATTTATCAGAAGTTGCCACAGCCGAATGAACCGCCAACTATTCCGGCATATGTTTTATACAGTGAATCCCATTGCAGCCGTAACCTAGCCCTGGGAATAATTAGTAACTATTAAAGATGAATTACAGCCTGATTATTTCGAGGACATTAAATAAAAATCTCAGCTGGCCACATTTTAATTCAAGAATGAAAATGAAGACAGAAACAAGTAAGATTTACAATGGACTTAAAATAGTTACACTTCAAGATGCGTCAAAACAATTTCAATGTGAAACAACTGTTCAACAACACAAACATGAGATGTGCACTTGTATGTATCTACTGCAACTAAAGCAATAATGAAAAACAGTTAAAAATAAAAGTGATTTGGTCCATGATTGTTCAATGTGATCTATCAGCTTCAGTTCGAAATCTTCCACATGTAAGAATCGCATATATCCATTGTTTTTTCGAAAGACATGCGCTATGGGAGAATTGAATGAACTAAATTGACAGTAGTGTATGAGTGTGTGTGAGTGTGTATGGATGTTTCCCAGTACTGGGTTGCGGCTGGAAGAGTATGCACTGCATAAAACTTATGTTGAAATAGTTGGCGGTTCATAGATGGCAACGCCTAATACAAGGGGGTTAATAAATGCGTGAAATATTATAGTTTTATATTAGCCAAATATTCATTGAAATTGTTATGATGTTTAAAATATTATTTAAGCTCATGGATAATTTGTAAAGAGAGTGTTTAAATAGTTTAGATAGTGACTGATTTATGGTGTTTTGACATTCTTCTGTATGTGAATAAAAGCATGCAGGCTATGCTGAGTGAAGCGTGTGTCGCTGTCTAGCTGCTATAAACTGTAATTGGCAGACGAGTTGCTCTGTGATGCCTCCCTACATTAATGCACAATCTTTGAAGTCCATCTTAAAATGCCAGTGAAGTGTCAGAAGTCTTGAACTTGTTCAAAAGCTTCTTGTAGTATATGTTACTTCTTCTCAAATGAGCAGTGTTCACTGTCCATAACTGTCTTGTCACAAAATTCCACAATGATCTTTGTCTGTGGGCTGACAGACGACGCAAAACAGACTAGTGTGATGCGAATTTAAATTCAGCGCAAGATGAGCATCTTGTACAACATTTGAATATCAGTGACAAACTATTGAGGTGGCTCAGTAGTTAGCACTGTCGCCTCACAGCAAGAGGATCGCTGGCTGGGCCAGTTGGCATTTTAATCTGAGTTTTGAATGTTCTCCCCATGTTGGCGTGGGTTTCCTCCGGGTGCTCCGGTTTCCCCTACAGTCACATGCGCTATAGGTGAATTGGGTAAAACAAAAAATTGAAAATAGTGTATGAGTGTGTGTATGTGAAAGGGTGTTTTCCAGTACTGGGTTGCGACTGGAAGAGCTTTTGCTACGTAAAACATTTGCTGGAATATTTGGCGGTTCATTCCAGAGTGATGACCCCTGATAAATAAGGGACTGAGCCAAAGATAAATGAATAAATAGATGACACACTGTTTGGTTAGCCTCTTATGATAATTTACTCAAATTCATCTCAGTAAATAATCTTCAGTTTATTCACATACAAGAGCATGTTTGTCAAAACATAATTAAAGACTTAAAGAGCCCTGTATAATAATTATGCAAAAGAATTTCTTAAGGATCCAATCAAAACGAAACATTTGCCGGAGAGGAAGACTATTTGAATAAAGACACATTTTCTTTCATTCCCCCCCTCAAATACTTCTTCCTAAATTGCCAGGCAGTGAGTTGTCAGGTAGTCCTGACCTTTTTTAAAAGCACTTTTTTTTTTTCAAAACACAACATGACTCATGTGGAGAACTTTCTGAATGTCATTTTGAATTTCACCGAAGAAAATATATTAATGTTATAACATGAGGATGAGTTTTATGACATAATTTCCATTTTGTTACTCTTTTAAAATACACGGTAAAAAATGCAGGGCTCTACACAATTCCTTCATATTGTCCAAACACAAATAGACTAAGTTAACGCAATCATTTTGCTAATTTATGTAGATTGAACTTAACACAATTCAATTGTCCCAAATCACTTGCAACGAGCAACAAAATAAATTTTTTGAGTGTAAGACCTGCGTACTCCCAGCTAACAAGATACTTCATTATTGTTTCATCAAATTATCGCATTATAGAACATTAGAATAGATTTTTAAAAATAATTTAGGCCTATATTCCTGAACAGTCACACTGTGAAAAACGTAATGACAACAAATATTTTTATGTTGCTTTAACTTATTTGAACAGGTTAACAAGGTTTCAACTACATTTTGTAAGTTATACTTAAACTTATATAGTATTGTGGAAAAAGGAATATATCATTTTATATTTTTGTTTCTTTTTCTTTTCATTAAACAACTGTATTTGTATTGCTTAAGGTGATATGCATTAACCAAACTTCTTCTCGAGTGTAATATGTTTTGCATACTAATAAAGCATTTTTGCAAAAGTAGATGAAGCTGATAGAAATGCAAAGGCCTGTTTGTTTAAAATTAACTTGAGGTCTGCAGAGAAACGTCCTGTGATCACAGAATTTGCAGTTGAGAAGTCTTGTGCTTTTGACGTTGTGCAGAAAATTAGTAGAAAAAGAGGACGTATGTATGGGTGCGGCCAATGGAGGACTGGAGAATGACGAATTCCACTAAGCTCCACCTGTTAATATCAGCTACAATTAAAGAAGAAAAACCTTTCCCGACCTTTTTTATTGAACACGCATAGAATTGATTAGATATTCCAACAATAGTTACAGTAAGTTTAACTTAGTATTTTTAATCAGTTCGATTGATGTAAGTTGATGACTATAAAAGATCATTTGATTCAACTAAATGAAGCAAGATTTTTTTTAGTCACTTTTATGGAAGCATTCCACATTTTCATATTGGAAACAACACATAAAAGGTCACAAATCTATCTACAGTATGCTAATGTTTTGATAATGTTAATGAACTATATGCACAGCTAGTGTTTTTCAGCCAATCATGAACTTCCAGTGAAAGCTTTATGTGACAGTTTTCAATTTTATAAGGTTTCTTTTACAGCAGGGGTGTCAAACTCAATTCCTGCAGGGCCGAAGCCCTGCACAGTTTAGTTCCAACCCTGCTCCAACAAACTTACCTGTAGGTTTCAAACAAGCCTGAAGGACTCAATTAGTTTGATCAGGTGTGTTTAATTAGGGTTGAAACTAAACTGTGCAGAGCTGCGGCCCTTTTGGAACTGAGTTTGACACCTGTGTTTTACAGCATGGATGTTGTACTGGAATTAAAATAAAATCAGTTAAATAGACTTAAGCATCTATTAGGTTGTTAAAGCGTATAAAAAGACGATAGACCATTTAAACGCAGGTGCTGTCATTAGCAGCAGGCTAGTGCAGTAATTCCATTGAAAATACTGGGCTAAAAGTAATTTCCATTTTTTAAAGACATGGCACACAAAAATATAATTTAATGCAGTGCTTCTTGTTTGGTCTGATACACACTTTATATCATATCTCAGCCAGGCAGAGAACATTACTGTTTTTTAAAGAAATCAGATCTTAAACGCGAGATGAGATGACAATTAACCGGAAGGCCTGGGGCTGGCTGACTGACATTAAAAGTCCGTGTGCATATACCCCATTGAACAAAAATCAACCCAGGCTCAATGTGGATACATACCCAGATCTGCATTTCTAGAGACAGTGAAATCCACAACCAGAGATACGTCTTCTCGCAGTTTTTGCAAATCCTGCAAAAAGAGGCTGCTGTGTACGCTTTCGATGATCTTAAATTTCTCTCGTGCATCCTCTTCTCGCGAAATCCAACAGAGGGCGCAATATACACTTCAGCCTACCAGGCTAGCTTGCTGTCGTCTGACTGACAGACCTACTAAACCCACCCCCTTCCCTAAACCCAACAGAGTGTTTTTAAAAGCATTCTAGAAAAATAAAAGCTGTCGTGGTTGCGTGATTTCACCATTTATTTGCTTTTGTATTACCTGGTTTCTGGAATCATTCTTCGACAGATTTGAATTCAGTTGTTGCAGTCAACTCCGAGTCCCAAGTCCAACGGCGTACACGCTCTCCAGAAATGTAGACCTGGGACCATATCAACAATAACCCTGTGTTGACAAAAATTCCATTAATGATTCTACAAATCTATAAATTATTTATTTCACTTAATTTGATATTGACTAAATTAATTTACACCTAACTTAGCCAAAAACGTTCTGATCATGCAAGTTTGTTTGTTTGTGTGTGTACTTACTCTCATGCCTGTGTTTGTCTGTGTGTGTTTTAACCACAGAAAGGCCATGTTACACATCTCCCCACGCACACAGGGTTCAGGTGGTTTTGTACCTTTCATCTTGGACCATTTCATTAATCCTCCGACGCTTCCGCAGGTGTTTGAGCTCTCCAGGAAGACGCTGCCCTTTTATGCAGATCTGGCAACCTCCACTGTCGCAGGAGTCCACCTATCCAGCTCTCTATGGGCGCCTGGGGAAAAGCTCTTCCAATTAAAAGGGATTAAACACTGATTGAAGCACACTTAATGAATCAGATCAACAGTTGCTTCCACTGTTTCACAATGGGGAATGATGCAAGTTTGTGTGTTGGTATTGGGGAGATTTTAGCAATTGGAATCTGATGGGGAAATCACTGTACACAACAGGTAAATATAAAGAGGGGGAAATTAGTAATGAGCACGTCACCATTTTTTGCCAAGGTGCTGTTAACTTGAAATTTCTTTGTAACAAACAAAGAAATCCATATATGGAAAGAAACAAAACTAATTTGTTTACAATTGAAGTTATGTGTAATGAAATAAAATGACAGAGAAAAATGTGTTGAACACATGAAGAAAGAGAGGTGTAGTTTGGCAGTAAAAGCTCAGACAGCAGCTGAAATCTGTCAGTAGTTCTTCAGCAACCCTCTGTCTTTCATCAGTGTAAATTATGATTAGCTGCTTCAGTCCAAAATCTACATTACCAGGATGATGAAGATGTAACCAGGGTTCAATTCCATGTCAACAGCTCCTTCAGAAATATAATTCCCAGGAAAAAAAATGACGTCAATACTTATTTCCCCCTTTCTAACTCTTGTTGCTTAATTCTCAATTAGCAGGTCGGCACAATTAAGTGGAAAAGAATTGTGATATGGTAAGATCACAATATACTGTGTGTTTCAGACTGAAGCTTGATGCTGGTAATGGAAACAGCTTTTTATAGTGTCTTGATTTGCTTTACATGTTGTGTGTTGCTTAACATGTATACAGAAACAATGTTCCTAACAATTTAAAATGAGAAGCAGTCATAAACTTGCTTTTGTAACAAAGGAGATGCTTTAAGATTCTATACTCAGATTTTACACCCAATAAAAAGGTTGTTGCTGGATATTGTAATTGTATGTGTCCTTCAAAATTAAATCTTATTATCATAGTCATATTTAGAGAAAATACAGTACTCAGGATAAATGAGTAAACCCCCTTTAAATTGAAAAAAAAAAATCTTGATCTTGAAAAAGTGATTTTTGGTGCATTTAAACTATTTTTTTTATTAAACAGATATCCTTTAAAATAAGAATTTGGTCACCTAACATATCCTCCTCAGACCCAAAGAAAAAATTTTTTTTTCTGTGATTTCCTACATTCTTTGGGTTAAAAAAAATTCTACAATTTAGAGTTTTTACATTTTGTTTTTATTTTTAATTTTACATCATGTCCACTGTAGTGGACCACAGGACCATTTTAGTTCGAAACGACAGCCAAACTCAGACAACAAAACTGTACAGAATATGGCTGTAAAGGCATAGCCTATTGATTCAATATGGATGTAACAAAAACTAAAAAGCCATTTTTTTCTTTTTTGTATTAAAATTCCTGAAGATTCCTAAGTTTGAAAGAGAGCCGAACAAAAAAAGATATATATAAATAAATAAAAAATCTCATTCTCATAAGGATATGTAAATGAGTTATTGCAATAAAAATTACAAACAATGAAATTTCAACTAATTTTATTTATTTAGATTTTTCTTGTTTCATTCATTCATTTCCTTCAGCTTGTTTTTATGCAGCGGATGCCCTTCCAGCCGCAACCCAGTACTGGGAAACACCCATATACTCTCACATTCACACAAACACTCAGAAAGTATGGCCAATTTAGTTCATCCAAATCACTGCATGTGTTTGGACTGTGGGGGAAACAGGAGCACCCAGAGGAAACCCACGCCAACACTGGAAGTACATGCAAACTCCACACATAAATGCCAACTTGCCCAGCCAGGACTCGAACCAGCAACCTTTTTGCTGTGAGGCGACAGTACTAAACACTGAGCCACCGTGCTGCATTTTCCCTGTTTATTAAACTTTAATATTTTCCCCTTACATATTAGTTTAGGTGTACTAACTTTCAGAACTGTATACTTTTAGAAGTATTTTGGTTAGATTAGTTCCAGTTTTGGCTTACTGGCTAAACTAATGTATGTATATGCACAAATATATTATTGTAAAGCATCCTATAGAACATTGTCATTTAAAAGAATCTGTGAGGGGTTTCTCGTTTATGCTCAGCATTGTATATATTAAAAAACCTTTAACCAAATTCATCTGCCCTTCAAACAAGCTTAGTAAATCTGAAGTTTTTAAACTCTCCGAAAACATAGAAATAGCAAAATTGCATTATAGACAGCAATAGAAAAATCAAAGCAAATCATAAAAAACATGCACGCATTACGATAAGGATGAAAGACTAAGGATCCAATTAACCTCTGCTGCCACGTGTGAAGCTGTATTAAACAGATACCAATGTTGTGTGGCTTGTATTCATCTATAAAATCACAAAATAAAAGAATAGCTTACCCAAAATTTACAATTTGCTGTTAATTTAGTCTCTCTCAAGCCATTCAAGATGTACATGACTTTTCTTTCTTCAGAAGCACATTACAGAAGATTTGTGGATGAAACTGGTAGTGGAAACAGGAAGCTCAAAATTTGCAAAGGCTGTGGATTAAAGGTAATAATGCTGTAAATAATGATCATTTCTTGCAGAGACCAATCATATTACTTTTTAAGAACTCATCGGGAGCCACAGGTTTTATTTTTGCCTTACCTCTATTTGTTTTTTGACTCTAAAAGTGTCAGCAACTATTAACTTGAATTATATAAAAGGAAAAAAATGCAGTTCTCGGTTTTCCTCTTTATTTCCACTTCCTCCGTCAGCTACAATCCTGCTGCGAGACCTCCTGAGGAAAACAAAATCTGTTAGTTCAGTAGGTGTTAATGAAGCAACCAGGTGGTGCATTGAATTTATAGCTTTGCACTGGTTTTAATCTAATGCTGGGTTTCGTTCGGAAGGGCTCATCCCTATGCCCTAATCCCTTCGAAGAGTCCCTCTAAAGGGATTAGAGTAGGGGTGTCCAAACCTGGTCCTGGAGAGTTTAGCTCCAACCCTAATTAAACACACTTGGACCAGCTAATCAAGCTCTTACTAGATGTACTAGAAACTTCCTGGCAAGTGTGTTGAAGCAAGTTAGGGCTAAACTCAGCAAGACACCGGCCCTCCAGGACCGAGTTTGGACACCCCTGGATTAAAGCATATAGTTGAGTCCTCAATTGAGTGCAGTGTGTGACACCAAACAACTTTACTGCTTAAAAGATGATGGCCCAAAATGTTTATCAGATGTATACTGTATGTAAAAATCCTCCATTCCAAAGGGTCTTTCAAAGCAGCCAGTTTTGATCACTTCGGTTTGGAACGACATTTCAATATGGCGGCCATGACTTTGTTCACTCTGAAATGGCCATCAAAAGGTTAAGTATCTCATTTGAAACGCACTGATAGACTCTATAAAAAATGCAAGTTGTGATGCTGCTTCTTTCCATTACAATGAATGAATGTAAAATGTTTAATAACAATAATACAGACATAAGTCGCAAAAAGAGCCTTGGCATGCATGGTTGCAAAGAACTTATGTCAAAAGTAAAAAAAATAATCATCGACAGGCTCGTAGCCAGCCTGGTAAATGGGGGGCTTCTTTTTTCTCAAAACGTGGACCTTTTTGTAGCTATTTATTTCATTTTCTATTCAATTATGAGGTTAAAATACTGCATTTAGAGATAGTTTAAGCACTATTTTTAGCTTGATTAGCTTGTCGGATGGTCATCATAACCACATTTTTTGATGCACTAAAATATTTCTTAAAGATTTAGAATTATAAAATCTGAAAATATACTTATTTTTAAAATACAAATTAATTACATCATATATTATTAGGAAAGAAAATAAAATCGGTTAGTTTTGAATTAAAAACTCTTGTTATTTATTACGCAAAAAGCAAACCAAGCAGCACATTCAACTTTCCTCAGTCAGAATTTGCCCATTTGAACATTGATCAATTAAAACTTAATAGTAATAATACATTGTAAAACCCATCAGTCAACTTTATCAAAAGAAATGAGTGTAGTTGACTCAAAATTGACTGAAAGTTAATTCTATTCATTCCCAAGGAGTTTTAAACTCCGTTTTGAAGGTAATGAGTTCATTGAATACATCATAACTTCAACTTAAATGGAGTAATTTCAGAGTATTCATATAGATTTTTATTTATTTTTTAACTCAAATGGTTTGTAGCAATCGGTTTCTTCAGTTGGTTTGAGTTGCCTTAACTTATTGGGTTTTACTTTGCTCAAATAGCTTCTTTGTACAAATGTATTAAGTTCACAGTACTCATTAGGATTAATTTTTGAACATAAATGGTTTTTAGCAATCAGTTTCTTCAAATGGTTTGTGTTACTTTAACTTTTTGGGTTTTACAGTGTAATAATAATAATAATGTAGAGCTTAATATTTTTTTCTAGCTTATCGGGTAAAGAGTACTTTTGAAAATTCATAATTAACAATAGCTTAATTAGTAGTAAAATTTGCTAATTTCTTTTCAAAATTTGAATAAAAGCTCATTGTTAAAAGTTTTCTGTTTATCAGCAATACAGTAGGTCAGTAATGAAAGATGACTTCACTTACATCAGATTCCACTTGGTCTTAAAGCCTTTGATGGGTTATTTTCACAATTTATGATGGCTTAGCAGTCAAAATAGGACAAATGAGCTCAAGTATGGGACAAATTCTGGAAGCTTGTCAGTTGGTTGTGGGTCTTTTGAACCACTTAAACCCCCTTGCTAAGATTGACAATGATTGATTTTAATCTCCTAATTCAGTTGCTGATGTGGTTGCCACTTTGTCCAAAGTACTGTCCATTTTCCGAAGGATGTCCAATTAGGATCCACAGGTTGAAAACATAGTGACAGTCAAAGCAAAGTGACTAATTTAAAAAAAAAGGAAGCATTTAATGAGACGAATCTTGTGCGTCTCGACTATCTGAAACTCCATAGCATGTCACTACCATCTTCACAGTACACTCTTGTTGCTGAAGCTCTCAGCAGGCTCTTACTTCACATGTTTCTGGCTCTTCAGAACATAGATTGCCTTCAATCTCTGATTACATCCATTGTGCACACAGCTAGTTTTAAAGACCGCTTTCTCTGGCTTCAACAAGAGAAGCAGCAAACCACAAAAAAAAAAAAAAAAAAAAAAAAACGGACTAGCTGATTTCATTCAAGTTCTCTCCAATCTTACATCTTTAATTTCTGGGGAATTTCTGAATCAACTCTAGCCGCCTAAATTACTCCTTTCAGTCAAACTGCAATTGTCAATTTGAGTGGCACTGCTGCCGAGATTGAAAGAGAAAATTGTTGGCAGCTCCTATGCTCTTATGTGGAAGTATGACATATATGTATGATGTGGGACCAAATTGCTGTAAAATACGTTATTTATAGTCATTTCCTTTTAAAGTTTGAGTGAACGCCTATTTTATATCCATTAAGAGAGAGATAATAGGGGAAAATATTAATTATGTAAACATTACATTATAAGCTGTAAGCAAAACTATTGGGAATACGAATCTAAACATACACTTTTTGATCGCTGATTAGGAAAATGACTATACTTTACAGTATAATCTTCTGGCTTGAATCCCAAATACATTCCTCATAAACCCATTTCAGGTCTTGGGCTGTGTTTAAAATCACCCCATACTTTCTTTCATAAGGTTTTATGAGAGAGGACACTTTTGGTAGTGGTGACCAAAACTATTTTCTGCTGCTTGCATTCGAGGGGGACATTAAGCTTTGACATTTTGATTACATGCATCACAGTGATGCGGCAAAAAATGTCTAACTGGCATATACGGCTTGAAGTCAGATGGACTGTATGCGAAAACTGGAAAATGTTTTATTTAAAGGATGAAAGGTAGGTATGCATCATTGCACATCCCTCGCAAAAAGATTGCTTTTAAAAATATTTTAAAGTCATTTCCAGTGGGAAGTTAAATGTTATCCCCAAAGCTCTCAATACTTTGTTGCAGATTATTAAAAGCTGCCTTGGAAGTTTGTGTGATGCACACTTCCACATACACTGATAGCAAAGTCACAGCTTAATAGAGCAGAAAAGCAACATTCACCTTCCTATTGCTTTTAGATGTGGTCAAACACATTTAACAAGTAAAAAAATTCCCAAAATGAATAGCAAAGGTCATACAAAATAAAATCCCGCATCTCGTCAGGAAATAGTGCCTGCAGCTAAGTCGCTCCTTAATCTATTTTTCAAACTGATGGTCCAATAAGGGTACAGCACACTAAATCTCTTCATTTTTAAGAGTTCTCACTTAGCTGATGATCGATTATAAAGCTAGTTTGGCATGCTGCCCCAGGAGAGAGCCCTGAGCTTATAAGATCCTCGAGCCCGGGCTCCCTCCCGTTTGCAAGGCGAGAGGGGAGTTTGAGCTCAGGTAGATCTCGAGAACTCCCCTGCTGTAATGAACAGATAGTGATTGCTCTTAAGAGATAACTACTTACAACTCAGTCAATTAACTTAAGTTGCATGTTTTTGGACTGTGGAAGGAACCCTGGGGAAACCCATGTGAGCACAGGGAGAACATGTAAACTCCGCACAGAAAAGTCGGCTGGGTTGGTAAAGACTAGAACCAGTGACGCTCTTGCTGTGAGGCAACAGTGCTAACCACTGGGCCATGGTGCCACTCATCTGGGAAAAGAGGAGTAGGGGTGGAAGGGGGGATTCTTCAAAACGAGGATGGCTGTTATATAGAACTTACGGAATTTATAGTGGCTTAGGAATCGTCTGATTGGTGAATCATAAATTGAATAATGCAGGACCAGCCGCAAGCAATCATCAGTGAGTGACCCTCTCGAAATTAGTTTATCAACAAACTTCACTTTTAATGTACTTGCAATATTTTGCAATCACTTAATACCCTTTACTGGTTACAAACTTGTAATGTTTTAATTTTTCTGTGTGTACAAAAAGAATATCATTTTTGAAGAATGCTGGACTTCCATTGTTTTTTTTTACTCTATATTTGATGCCAACACATAACAGTTTCCAACGTTCTTCAAAGTATCTTCTTTTTTGCTCAAAAGAAAAAACTCATGAAAATCACTTGAGAATAAGTAGGAAATGTAAATTTTTGGATGAACTACCTCTTTAAGTAATGAGTAATAATATTTAGCAGCATGGCTAGGGCTAGGAAAAGGGTTATGTTTAGGTTTAGTTACTTGTAATCATGCATATAATTACAGTAGGTACTTGAAATGTGTAACAAAGACTGTAAAAAGATGTTTTCATCAATTTAAAATTGATCATTAAGCTGTTTAAATACAGCTTATGATGTGCTATATTCCATGACATTAACTCTTTTGGAGTCTCTATCAATGAGCAGTTGAGTTGAATTAAGCGTGATTGTTTAGGAGGAGATTCACAGTGATTGGAGTTACTCCAGGAGCTTTGAAAATTTATGATGTAATGAAACGTACTTTCCAGAAGAGGGCAGCAGAGTAAGCATGCTGAAAAAAACATTGTACATTTAGGGAACAGTTTAACCCAGTGGTTTCTAATCCAGGTCCCGGAGTACTCAATTTTGGCGCATTTTAGTAGTCTCCATAATAAAACACACCTCATTAAACAGATCATGACAAGGAAATAACATAAAACTACTAAATGCACCACTACAGAATGTTGTACACCCATAGCCAATGACGTTCATAGTAAGGCAACAAATAATGTTAAATTAATGGATATTCATTTTCAACAGTCTTCAAAATATCTTCTTTTGTCTAATAGACAAACTCAAATAGGTAAGAAGAAATTGCAACATGAGTAAACAATGACAGAACTTCAGTTTTTGGGTGATCTATACCTTTAAGTAGGAGGGAACTGTGACAGGAAATGCTGGTTTATTAAACCACTTCCCATCTAGCTGTAATGTTTAGCTGGTAACCAAAGCACTGCAGTCCTCTCATTTGACATGTTTCTCCTCCCACTCTGTCTCGTCCTTCACCACATGCTCTCCTTTAAGCGCATGCATTAGTCAGCAAAACATTAGCTCCATGCTGAAGCTTCACGGTCAGTGAAATTGCGAGCTTCAGTGACCACATCATTATGTGTGAAAGATGAACCAGAGCTGATGACTGAAGAAAAGGCTGAGGAGAAAAACAAGGTAAATGATTCTTTAGTGTCTTGCATGCCGTCACACCTCATTGTAAATGTGTCCAAAGTTCTTGTAAATCAGTAAAATGATTAGGAGGAAGAGCTACCACATCGCATCCCAGAAACAACTGGAGGTTAGGAAGTTTTACTATCACATTTGCTTGCATGTTGTTGTACTTGAGAGTTTGCAATGGTCTTCAATTAATCCACATTGCTTAGGATAGCAACAACATACTTAAATTTTATAAGGAACAGTAACACTTCCTCTACCACTGCAGCTGTAGTCACATGCTCTTAAACCCAGATACAGACATGGGTTGACACTAGCCATATTAGACTTAACATTTGAGTAGTAATAATAAAATGCTTTCAAACTTTTTAAAGTTACCCTGTTTTCCCTAACTGTCAGTAATTCTCAATCTGACCCACTTCTATTGTGCCACCCTTGCAAACAGCAACGCATAATATTTTGTTTTTCTCAAAGAGATTTAAGCACTATTAATGATACTTTAGTTGTCTATTAACTTTTGCATCAGGCAACAACATAATATGTGAATTTCAATTAAAATACAGGGTCAGGGTTTACTGTATAATACGGAACATGCTCTATGGACTGAATTTATGCTTTATTTTTATTTGCAAATGCAAAACATTCAATGATTTTCTTTTTGGCTTAGTCCCTTTATTAATCAGGGGTCGCCACAGCAGAATGAACCGCCAACTTATCCAGCATATGTTTTACGCAGCGGATGCCCTTCCAGCTGCAACCCATCACTGGGAAACACCACTACACTCTCATTTACACACATACACTATGGGCAATTTAGCTTACCCAATTTACCTGTACCGCATGTCTTTGGACTTGTGGGGGAAACCATAGCACCCGGAGGAAAGCCACAACACAGGGAGAACATGCAAACTGCACACAGAAATGCCAACTGACTCAGCCGAGGCTCAAACCAGCGACCTTCTTGCTGTGAGACCACAGCACTGCATCATCGCGTAGCCCAAATGCAAAACACCTTATGAATTTTTCAATAATTACTAACAATAATAATAAAGACATACTTAGTAAATGTAAATATAGTACAATTTAGTACTGAGAATATTACTGAAATATTAGATAAATATGTATTCAAATGACTGAATGAGCTTTTGATGAAATTATTTAGGACAGACTTTTTAAAAACTGCTTTGACAAAATAGTAATGGTGTTACCTGTCTGTTGTAGATGGCGTCTGTGTTCCTGCCAGCTCTGGGTGGTGTGGCTGTTTGTGGCGGCACTCATGGAAATGAGCTGTCGGGTGTGTACCTGGTGCAGGAGATGGAGCGACAGAGGAAGGAGAGGGGAGACGGTGTGTGGCCGATTCCTGTAACAACTGTACTGTCAAACCCACGGGCTGTGAAGGAGTGCAGAAGATATATTGATACAGATATGAACCGCTGCTTTAGCAAAGCTGTGCTGAGGTGAGATGTGGAACCGCAGCATTAAGTGTTGTTTAAGTGGAACAATGCATTGTAAAAACAACAACAACAAAAAAACGGCTGCACCACACTACTAATCATTTTCCATTTGTTTTTAAAAGATGTAGATATAGATGCCTTGGCTAAAACAGTTCTAAATTTGGGCTGTCAGTGGAAATCGAATAGACATCTAAAATCCACTAGTCCTCAAATTGACAGGAATTACACATCTGAAGTCTGTCTTATTATTTGTGGACAATAGTTAAACGTCAGTTACATGTTTAAAGACAGTCCAAGTTTAGCATTGTTTAGCCAACATGTCTATTGCTGCGTCTGAAATTGCCTACTAAGTAGGTACTGCATTTTAATTTAAATGTACAGCTTTGCCATTAGAAAAGTATGTTCTATATATAGTATGAATGTCAGTAGAATGAATGGAAGTCAGATGTACTACAGCTGGCATTTTGTCATGATCACATAACCTACTCGCGTCAGTTCCATCGCATAACTCTTATTCATGAATTATTTTGTGGTGCACCATAGGATAGCATAGTGTGCATCGGATGCACATTCTAGAATCTCGCAAGAAGTAATAGGTCATCCCTTCTCACATACTGTTTTTCAAATTCTATAAAAACACACATACTACTCAGTTCGCAAACTGTTTTTAGCGTACTATAAAGTATAGAAGTATGCAATTTCGGACGCAGTCTGTTTAGATGTCTATAAGAAGTCTTTAAATGCACAAAGAAAAAAAAATCTAAATTTAGGAGAGCTAAGCAGATATAGCCATAACTAAAATAAATAAAATGGTTTCCTGTTTTTGTAGACATAAACCACATTGAACATTTTTATTTTGCATCCACACTAATGATAGTTTTTATTCTGCCAGTTTTATTTGGGTGGACAACTAGATTCGATTCCAGTGTTCATTTCGAAAATGGTTTGACACCAATAGAAACTTGACAGATCTGGTGCACCAGTAACATGACTGAATGCGTACGCTATGATCTGCTCCAATACTGAACAAATAGCAAAATGCAGCAGATTAAAATAAATATAATTTTTTAAAAGATTTATTTAAGATATATATTTTTAACGATTTACTTTTGTTTTTATTTGATATAACAGCTGGATGACAGGAAATTAAGTGGGAGAGAAGGCGCGGGGGGGGTCCATTGTGATTTTTGAGTACCCCCACACAGTTTGATAGACCCAGAAGCTGCTTCATGTGACGTCACACTTAACAAACGGATATGCCGACATTTTGGTTATTTTTAAAAATATTTTTGAATACATTTAATTCTCATATTTTTTGTCAACAATAATGTCCTGTGTGTACTTGTAAAATTAGCAAATCAGAGTGTACACATTCAGAGTTTTCTGTCACGTTAATAGTGCAGTGGAGCTGACAAACTTCTGTTTGTGTCTAACAATATCCAATGAACATTTTTCGCCTTTACTTACATTGTAAAAACTAACACTTTTTACTTCTACATGTTTAAACATGAGTTTGAATAGATATTGATAATGTACTTTGATCAAAGCACCACTAATTAATTTATTTGAAAATGGAGTAAATGGATTTCCACATGCAAAAATGGTAATATATGTGTTAATCTCTCTCAAAGTACTCCTATTACAGACAGCAGCCCATATGAAGTCCGACGTGCTCAGGAACTGAATAATCTTCTAGGAGTGAAGGGATCTGACGATGTAATGGACATGATTTGTGACCTCCACAACACCACGTCTAATATGGGTCTCACACTCATCCATTACTCAGCTAGTGACTGGGTAACCCTGCACATCTGCAAATACTTACAGGTATGACCTTCACAAATGTGCTTCATTCTGTAAACTAAGTGAGCTTTTGTCAATGGGTGGGTTGGTGTTGACGCCCCCCCAAAAAATCTGACTGCAAGACAAAACATATGATAAATCCAAAAAAATAAAACGCATTTCATCACTATATATTTAATCATGCTTAATATCCACTTTAAAATCTGGTTCCTGAAGCAAAACCAGTTAAAAACAAACATAACAAGGTTGTTAATGTTCCATATATAAACGTATGGACAACCATGTCAATGAGTAGAGCAGGTATATTGTGTCTATGCATGTGTGTTTTGATGTTGTCTGTTGTCGTGTACATATTTAAGACTAAGATAACCAAAGTGCCTGTGAGAGTGCTGGTACTGGATTTCCCCATTAATGATGCATATAACTTGGAGTCGGTCTCCAAGCATGGCTTTAGTAAGTGATGGTGATCATCTCAATGCATTTGCTTTATGTGCACAAATGGAGTCCGATGATGAGAATGGTGGTCTGTGTTTCTAGCTCTAGAGGTCGGGCCGCAGCCACAGGGTGTTGTCAGAGCTGACATCTACGTTATTATGAAGGAGGCTGTCGACTTGACTATAGACTGGATTCATAAGTTCAACTCAGGTACTGGAGGATCTAAAAATGTGGTGTTTTTTTGCAATGATATTGTGTTAGAATGTGTGTTTAATTTTGCTTACAGGGACAGTATTTGAAGGTGGAGATGTGGAAGTCTTCAAGTTTATCAAAAGTGTGGATTATCCCAGAGATCCTGAGACACGAAATCTCACCGCTGCTGTTCATCCTCAGCTTCAGGTGATGATCATTCTGCAAAAATGATTTATATGATTATGTAGAATTGACAAGGCATGTTATTAATATACATATTCAAATAGTCAATGATTAATGTTTTGCGGAAAGCTACTTATAAGAGTAATATTTTACCATCTTGTGTTACTTTAAAAATGTAACTAAAAGTGGTACTTGTTTACTTTTTAAGGTAAAGTAATTTGTTATGGTCAGGGTTCATACACTTTTTTACTAGAAAAATGCAAAGACTTTTTTAGGCATTTCAAGTAAATTTTTCATGACCTAATGTTTCATGTAATGTCTACGTATACGTGGTAAATAACAAAAAAAACGATCCATGTTCAAAGTTATTACAGCATATGATAAAACATGCAGCAATCTATTTAGTTTAAATTAATCTTTATATCTATGTAAAATGTGTTTAGTGTCTATGTATGCAGTAATAATCTTAGTAAAAAATCTTAATTTTATTTGTCTAAAAATCATCTCATTTGTAAAAAAGAAAAAAACAATAAAGCAGAATTTCTCTATAGGTATGAGTTGGTTAGTCTGCAGTCATTCAGCGTCTTCAAGAAGTCTATGAGTCTGCGAGACCCTACAGGAGTCTCTTACACGAGTCTTTCACAAGTCTAAAAAAAGTCTGAAATCAATCAAGTCTAATGGAGACCGAGCCGTCCTGTCTATTATGTGTTTTAGGAGGGGGCAGAGTTTGTGGGAGGAAACATAGAAAACGAGCATGACTAGTTTTAGTTGAAGATCTTGTTTTAGGGTCTTGAATAGATCCTGAGGTTTCACCTTTCCAGACCAGCTTGAAAGTATCACCTAAAAACAAAGGCACAGTTGTTTGGACCCTTCCCTTAGCATTTGCATCACTTCGGCTCAGCCTGTGCTCAGGCGGTCAATAGGTTTTAAATATCTCTTACATCTTAGCTAGAGGTAACTAGATTATATAAATTTATATTCCCACAGTATTTTGGATGGGATGGACATGTTAATGTTAAATGCATCTAAAAATCACTATTTCTCTTTTTAGGATAGAGATTTCTGTCTCCTGAAGAGGGGTGACCCTTTGTTTTTGTCATTTTCTGGAGAAACAGTGACATGCGAGGAAGAAGAGCCACTTCATCCGTTCTTTATCAATGAGGGTGCCTACTATGAAAAGGGAATCGCTTTTCATCTGGCCAAAAAATGGACACTGACAGTTCCATCAGTACAAGTGCAGACAACAAACTCAGCATGATTACCAGACAATCTAACCTCACTGATCTAACCAAATGATTTCACATGACAGACTGTCTTTTATCAAATTAAAATAGCAAATAATTGTAAAACAATGCATAATCACAAATATACATCTTTTGTTGCTGATTTCAAAAGCTGTGTTCAATCATACATTTTGACTTTTTTGCTCAAATTCAGTGGTGGCTTTTACAATACATAACGTGGCTCAAAGTTATTTTTAATGCAAGGCTGGAAGCAACTTCTACTGTTTATGCATTTACAAAACTGTTAATTTATGTTTTCATGTTAATAAAGTTTGTTACACCCTAATCTTTTTGTTTGTTTGTTTGTTTTCTTGGCTTTTAACACAAAACAACTGAGAACCACTCTTCAAAGTAAGGTAATAAAATGCAAATATTTCTTGGATTTAAGTCTTTTTTTCCCTCAGTGTCGTCCTAAACTACGAAACAAATATGTCATTTGTTTGATGAGTGATGAAAGGCTGCAAAAAAAAAAAAAATCATTAAAAGCAAAATGCCCTTATATGGAGATAGTTTGTTTAGGCGTGTCTTATGCAAATAAATTTCCTTGCAAACACAACTGTTCATTTAAGCAAGATTTACCCCAAACCAGTTCCAACAAAAAGAAAAGGTCAACTTTTGTTTTAGTGAATTAATCTTAACGTCAAACCTGGTTTTAATTGATTTGAGTATGAAAAGGTCAAAAACACACAAATTACTGTTATTGCTTCCAGATAGGAAACTACAAAAACACAATTTTGGCTACAGGACCGTCTATGTGCAGTGTTTTTCTATTAAGTGACATCACCAACTACTGCTTTCATTTATAAACACAGTGAATGCACAAAACTGGCAGATAGCTCTCTGCAACTTTCACATGGTCGCCCACTGAAGCTAAGCAGGGCTATGCCCACTCAACCCGCGGTCTATGTGGGTCCTAACTCTCCAGTATAGTGAAGAGGACTCTACTGCTCAGTGAGCGCTGTCTTTCGAAAAAAATGTTTAAAAGGAGGCTCTGACTTTCTGTGGTTGTTAAAAATCCCAGGATTTCCTTTGAAAAAGAGTTCATCCTGGCCAAGTTTACCCACTGGCCTCTTTACATCATGGCCTCCTAACCATCCCCATATCATTATTGGCTTCATCACTCTGTCTCCTCTCCACCAATCAGTTTTGGTGTGTGTTGTGCGCTATAGGTGGATTGAAAAAACTAAATTGTCCATGGTGTGTGTGTGAATGAGTGTGTATAGATGTTTCCCAGTACTGGGTTGCAGCTGGAAGGGCATTCGCTGCGTTAAACATATGCTGGAATAGTTGGCGGTTCATTCCACTGTGGCGACCTCTGAAATAGCGACTAGGCCGAAGCAAAATGAATGAATATAAATAATCTACATACCTATTAGTAAATTAAAACCCACTGCAATTTTTGTAAACATTAAACATCAGGCTGTGCTATAAGATAATGTTGCCATGTTTACGTCTAGTATTGATCTCATTTTGTTTAAACATCCGAGCTGATTTTTGCATTGACAGCAGCTGTTGATTTTGTAAGGAAATTAAAAACAGAAACGATGACAGGAAATACTGGTTTGTTAGAAAACCGCCTGCCTGCATGGCTTCCTCTCTCATTATGTACGGTTGTAAAGTTAAGGTAATAATCTCTAAGTTCTGCAGTCCTCTCAGTTGTCATGTTTCTCCTCCCCTTCTTGCGTCCCCCCCACACACACTCTCCTTTTAGCGCTTGTATGAGTCAGCAAAACTCTCATTTCATAGCAGTGGAACTGAGAGTTGCTAGGGCGTCAAACATCATGTGTGAAAGATGATCCAAGGGTGGCGGCTGAGGCAAGGCAGAAAAGGAGGAGGTACGTTATTGTTTTGCATGTTGCATCAGTGTGTCTAAGTGGTCGCTGAAGAATGTCTTAAACTGTTAACGTGTGTGTAGGCGCATCCCCTGCAGTGCCGTGGCCCCTGCAGCTAGAATAGGCCTGCACTGGCTGAATGTGTGTCAACACGCATGCCCTGTCACACCTCACCGTATGTGTCCAAAGGTCTCATATCCCTTGTGCAACTTCCCTCAGTAAGACGATTAGAGGGACAGCGTTGGGAAGAAGGAGCAAATCAACACTTCTGTCTTAAATATAACGGTAAGAGGTTTTGCTTTCAACTTTTGCATTATGTGTTGCATGTAATCGCATGACATCTGCAATAAATGCACAATGCTCAACAGAGCAATTTAGTGTCTGAAGGAAAACAGCAAAACTCCCTCCAGCAATGGAGCTTAAACTAATACTACAGTCACATGTTCTTAAAGGTATACACACTCAAATAATGATGTTTGCTGTTTTTTGAAACCACTTATTTATAAAACAAGATTAAACAACACAATTCTTAAGTGTTTTTTTTTTTGGGGGGGGGGGGGGGGGGCAGCTTAACTGTTTTATGTGCAATCCACGTCAATTCGTAAAAACTAATGTTAACTTAATTCCTTCATTTTGAGCCAACACAAATCGATCGCATTTTTACAGTGTACATGCAAAAAACTACTCGCAAACTGAGCGTGAACGTTATAAAGGTGCTCGCCAGTTGGCCAGTTTTGTTTAAGAACAGCAACATTACAATATTTACATGGTATTCATGGTTTTAGTAAGCATTATTGTAACATGATCTATGTAAATAGAGTTTCACAAATACACTCAAAAAATGTTTTTTCTTTTGCTGCTTGTTCAACCTAATTTAAAAGGAGCTCAAACGACACAATTCTTGAGTGTTTTTGGGGAACAACTAAAATGTTTTATGTTCAATCCACTTCAATTTGTAAAAACTAATAAGTTAACTTAATTCCTTCAAGTTGAGCCAACACAAATCAATTGTATGGCACTCAGGATTTTTACAGTGTACATGCAAAAAACGACTTTCATTATAAATAAAGCTTCTCGTTAGTTGGCCAGTTTTAGATAATTAGAAACAGCAACATTACAATGTTTACATGGTTTTTGTAAGCATTATTGTAACATGATCTAGGTAATTAGAGATTCACAAATACACTCAAAAAATGTTTTTTGCTGCTTGTTCTAACTACTCATTTAAAATGAGCACAAACAACAACATTCTTGAGTTTTAAGACAGCTTAATTGTTTTATGTTCAAAATTGTAAACACTATTAAGTTCACTTAATCGATTTATGATGGAACAACTTAAAGGGATTGTGTGGAACTCTGCATTTTGTACAGTGTAGTCTGTTATAGAAAACTGTTAATGACTATCTTCTGTCTTTAATGTTGTGATAAGATAAATTTATGTAGGATGCACCTTTTTCCTCCAGATTTTAATTTGCAACCTACCTGTGAAATATTTCATAATGACTAAGCCCATGCGGAATCTGCGCACGCATATCATTTTCGCAGATTTTTAGACTGTTATTAAGTTTATTTATTTACTAGTGTAAATGTGTGTAAACTTATATTTATTCAGTTTTTTTTATTAATTTCAGTAATATTATTGACTAACATGAAAGTGTTCATTTGATTTATTTATGACACAGTTTGTAAATTAATATTTTCTGTCTTTTAGTAGATATATTATATGAGAAACTTGCTTGTTAACAAATAAGTGGATTTAGATGGATTTGCATTGTAAACATTAAATAAAAGTTAAAACGCAATTAATTTGTATTAATATTCATATATTAAGTTTTAAGTTACGATACTCCCAAAATAATTCTGCATAAATCCAGAGATTTTTTACAAAATTCTCAGCAGAAATAGCAAAAAAATATGCGCAGATTCAGTCTGGCCCTACTTATGACTAATAGGAAAAACATTTGACAGCTCCATTCAATTTTTGTGGTATATTTATAAATGTTTATACCATTCTTTTCTTTTTAACATAAATTAAAGTTTGTGTTTCATTATTAATTTTGTTTTGAACTATTTTAGGACTTATTGAAGATCTTTAGTTAATAATAAACCTGCCTTTACTACATTTACCCTGTTTTTCAGTAAATAATTGTTTTCCTAGAGCCAACAACTGCCTTTTGTTCTCATTAACAGTGCTGGGTTCAGTGTCGTCTGTTCTGCTAGCTGTGCAAAACAGTCAATGTGTGACTTTGTGGTGTTCTTTTTCTGCCTCAGAGAGAACCCAGCTCTGTCAATCTCGGCGTGGGATTATAAATGATTCTTCTGTTGTCTATTAACTTCCTCAGCAGTTCATCTACAACAACAACTCCTCAGTGAGCAACATAGCATGATATTGCTGGTTTGAATTAAAGCTGTAGAGCTTAGAACAGGTTCACCTTTATTGACTCCTGCCTCGAGCTTGTAAAAACAAAAGAGGAACACATAGAAAGTAAAATGAACGTTAAAATATTAGTTTACTTTTAACTTGCTGAACTGTTACACTGGCCACATTCTTAAACTGCTCATTTTGTCCCCCAAAATAATTAATAAGTAATAAAAAATAGTTTATGTACTAAATATGCCTACCAAACAAATATATATAATAATCAAGGCAGACTATTAAAAACTTAAAATAGTAATGGTGTTACTTGTCTGTTGTAGATGGCGTCTGTGTTCCTGCCAGCTCTGGGTGGTGTGGCTGTTTGTGGCGGCACTCATGGAAATGAGCTGTCGGGTGTGTACCTGGTGCAGGAGATGGAGCGACAGAGGAAGGAGAAGGGAGACGGTGTATGGCCGATTCCTGTAACAACTGTACTGTCAAACCCACGAGCTGTGAAAGAGTGCAGAAGATATATTGATACAGATATGAACCGCTGCTTCAGCAGAGACACACTGAGGTGAAATGTGGAACTGCAGCCTCAACTGCTAAGATGCTGGTCAAATATACGTTAGCTTTTTTTAAATAATAAAAAGAACACAATACATTTTTATATAAAATTAAATTATTAATTTTAAATAGTTTTTAAATATAACTTTTTATCATGACTTAAAATAGCCTAATATGCATTCTATGTACTGAAATAACTACACCTACATTATTAGGCTACTGACTAAAAACAAGCAAACGTTAAATGTTATTTTGTATTGTGTTAACACCAAGAAAACTAGGCCATCATCTAAACGTTTGAATATATATGTTTTTTGTAGCTCGCTGTTAAAGTTAACGTTAGACAAGTCATTTGTGTTCTATCTAACGTAATCTATCTATCTATCTATCTATCTATCTATCTATCTATCTATCTATCTATCTATCTATCTATCTATAAAACGTTTAATATAACACATTAAACAAACAAATAGGCAAGTACATTTAGTAAATGTAGATTTGTTTTCCTTAAAACCTTCGTCAAGGTTTTGTCCCTCTTTGTATTTAATTGTTTACAACATAACTTGACGCAGCTTTTAATTATTGATAACATACGCAAAGTCTGACCATGAAATTAAACTCTAACGTTAGCTCTGATGTACTTAACGGTAAAAAAAAACGTCTTCAGTCTTATACCTCGCCAATAACATAAAACAAAAGTGTAAAAATGTATATTTCATCGACGATAATTACGTTACCTTCATTTCTTGAAGATTGAGTTTGAGAGCCGTTGACGTTGCGTCAGGGGGAATTCATATTTACCGCCTTGTTCTGTCGACCAATCAGCGCGATTATAAACTGTCGTCCCAGTTAACTGTCGTATTTTAATTTAATAATTTTATACACAGTAGATGTGGTTCTTTTCCGTATTTTTATTTATTTATTATTATATTTATTATTATTTATTTATTTATTAGATTATTGTGTAGTTTATTTGTTGATCTAGGAGATTACTGTTTAAGGGTATTTTTTTAACTTAAATTACTATGTAGTTTATTTGATTATTTAGTAGATTGTATGGTTTACGGACAGGTAGTCTACCTATATAACCTAACTGCTGAAATAACTGATGTGTACATACTGTTTTGAATGTGTATTACTTCTATATACATAATATGTCAATCTAAAATCCTCACTTTCTTGAAGTACTCCTATTACAGACAGCAGCCCATATGAAGTCCGACGTGCTCAGGAATTAAACAATCAGCTTGGTCCAAAGGAGTCCACAGGTGCAATAGACATGATTTGTGACCTTCACAACACCACATCTAACATGGGTCTCACACTCATCCATTACACAACCAGTGACTGGGCGACCCTGCACATCTGCAAATACTTACAGGTATGAGCTTCACAAGTGTGCTTCAATAAACCCCATACTGTAAACCAACGTCAGTCGTTCTTAACTGGTGCTATGATTCCATATTTGGCAAAGAGTAAGGTGGATTAACATATTATTGTGCATTTTAAGTAAATATTAAGTATACTATACTTGATTTTTAATGTAAAATCTTGGTCTTAAAGCTCAACAGGCACCTGATTTCAAAACAATATTAATAAACACACATCAAATTCTTGATGTCTATTTGACATACACTCATTGATGTTCTTTTGACCACCAAAATAACAACACAAAAAGTATTATGGCTAATTTAAGTAAAGTTTTATTCATCAGAAAGCTTCAATTACACATTTACACTGAATGTTGTTTTCCATACAATGAATGTAAACTACCTGGATGTCAAAACAACATCTAATTGACATCTAACCTTGTCATTAAATAAACAGCTGAAATATTGGTTACAGGACAGTCCTGTAATCTGTTTAATCACTTACAGGACAGTCTTGTAATCAATTTTTGATGCGTTGTTTGTGTAAACGCTTTGTCAATTTGACAATCAAGATAGTCAACTGACATCAAATCGATGTTTTTTGATGTCGTTTTGATGCCCACCAAGAGCTACACCAGTTAAGAACCAAATGAGTGGCCAAATTCATGAGTATGGTAGAATTTTGGTGTCACTGCATGTGTGTTTTGATGTTGTCTGTTGTCGTGTACATATTTAAGACTAAGATAACCAAAGTGCCTGTGAGAGTGATGGTACTGGATGTCCCATATAGTGATGCATATTCCTTGGAGTCCGTCTCCAAGCATGGCTTTTGTAAGTGATGGTGATCATCTCAATGCATTTTGTTTGTGTACTCATCATTATTCAACCCCAAAGGCACGCTCAGCTGATGAGTATCATGATTGCCTGTGTTTCTATAGCAATTGAGGTCGGGCCGCAGCCCCATGGTGTTGTCAGAGCGGACATCTATGTTATTATGAAGGAGGCCGTCGACTTAACTATAGACTGGATTCATAAATTCAACTCAGGTACTGGAGGATCTAAAAATGTGGTGTTTTTTTAGCAGTGATATTGTGTTAGCAAATGTATTTAATTTGGCTTTCAGGGACCGTATTTGAAGGTGGAGATGTGGAAGCCTTCAAGATCATCAAAAGTGTGGATTATCCCAGAGATCCAGTGACTCGAAGTCTCAACGCTGCTGTTCATCCTCAGCTTCAGGTGATGATCATTATTTTTATTATTACGTATATTTTACACACAGAATGTGCAGAAATTGTTATAAAGCTGATAAAGTTGTCCAGATCTGATGGTTACTTTATTTATTGCATTAATTAGAACGGCATTTAAATTTGATCTCTATTACACATGTAATTGAGGCCAGCTAGTAAAGTGCTATGCAGGTAAACCTTACTCTTATGACCTCTAAAGGTGCTCAGACGCTAGAGGCCATCGTCTTTAGCCTCCTTGTTAGAGCAACTGACTCGTATGCAAAGAATCACCAGTTCGATCCTTGTTTAGCGCGGGTTGGGTGCCATAGGACTGGTGGGTTACACATGGGGGCTCGTCCGGGATGGGAGTGTGGTTTAGGGGGGTGAGTGTAACAAAGGCCAGCTAGCTATGCTATGAGTGCTATGCAGGTAAACCTCACTCTTCTGACCTCTAATACTGTGTTCACTCTAGATGCAGTTCTCGCGGATAAATCACGTTATTCGTGTGTAAATAGACGCGTGAACATTTTTAGTTTTCTCGCATCAAATCTGCTTCACAATAGAAGTGAAATCGTGTCATGGGCAGGGCTTCTGTCTGCCTGGTGACTGTGGCTTTGATGCTAAATGGCTAACATGGATTTTATTGAGGTAATAAATGTGTTTATGTGCTTTATGAAGGCTGAAAAACAGCGTCGATACATTTGGAGCCGTGTCTGGTTCTGTCAGAGGTGCACTTAACTCGTTCATAAACTCCTCCTGAAACTTAACAAAATGCTCAACTTGCGCCACTTCATTAGCGCAAATCGCATCATTCGCGCCACCTCATTCACACATATCATGTCGCAGGATGTCTATTTGCGTCTTTGCATTGATTTAACATGTAAATCACTCGCGCTTGATGCACTTTCCATGTCTGGTGTGAATGCAGCAGTAAGGTGCTCTAGCAACAGATGTTAGAGGCTATGGTCTTTAGCCTATTTTTTTAGATGAACCAACTCCCATACAAAGAAATCCCAGCTCAGACCAGGCTGAGTGTAGTAGAACTTGTGAATTACACATGGGGGCTCGTCCGGGATGGGAGTGAGGTTTAGGGAGGTGAGTGTAACGGAAGCCAGCTAGCGAAGAGCTATGCAGGTAAACCTCACTCCTCTGACCTCTAAAGGTGCTCTAGCAACAGATGCTACAGGCCATGGTCTTTAGCCTCGTTAGAGCAAATTGTTTGATCCCAGCTTGGAGCGGGTTGGATAGTGTAGGACAGAGTAATAGTGATTTTTAAGTGATTTTTAGTGACTTTTTATTGCATTAATTAGAAAGCCATTCTAATTAATGCAATAAAGGTCAGGTAATAAATTATAAAATTGTAATTAATAATTATTTCAATACTGTTGTACTCAATAAATGCCAGTTGAAATAAACCAAAAGTCCAAGGTGCAAATAATTAATGGTAATTATTTAAAATGGGAAAATATAAGCATTACAGAATACTTTTATTGGGCTTAAAATGACCCAGTATATATAATAAGCAAGTTTATGTCCAAAAATGTTTTTGATTTGGTATAAAACATCAACTAAACATGCTTATGCGAAATACACCCAAAAATCTGAGTTCATTTTTCCCTCCCCAGGATAGAGACTTCTGTCTCCTCAAACGGGGCGATCCTTTGTTTTTGTCGTTTTCTGGAGAAACTGTGAAATATGAGGAGGAAGAGCCACTTCATCCCTTATTTATCAACGAATGTGCCTACTATGAAAAGGGAATCGCTTTTCATCTGGCGAAAAGGATGAGGCTGACAATTCCAGCGGTGCAAGTGCAGAAGGACTGAATGAGGAAAGAGGAAAGACATTAAACCCAGCATGACTATAAGCAATTGAATGATTTATGTGATTTTTACCACTACTACAATCACTTCAAAGTGATTCACTCAGGTATAAACTGTTTACTTAAAGACATAATTTACCACAAAAAAAAATTTGAAAATGGCTTCATTTACTCTCCCTCCTTTTAGAGTTTCTTCTATTATTGCTGCCACCCACTGACTTCCATGGTAGGGAAAAATATGGAAGTTAACATGGAAGCATTCATCAAAATATCTTCTCAAACAGGTTTTGAATGACAGAATTTTTAATTTTTGGGGGGCTGGAATTACCCCTTGAATTAGCTCTATGACAATGAGTGACGTTCAACAATGATGTTTTTGAATGAAAAGATATTTATTGTGACCAGCAAAATGTTTATCTGACAATAATGCTTACAAAACTGTATAAAAAAGGCAAAACCGTCTGAAGTACTTCGAACACCGGCTTGAAGTCAGTCACAGTGGGTTGTGAAGAGTGTGAGGTATCGTCATGACTGTATTGCTCATATGCCTGATCGCTTGGAGAAAACAGAGCCGCTTATGGGCTCGGAACAAAAAAAAGACTAAACAAAAAGCACATTAACATGAACAAAAGATGACCTCAGGTATTACAACACAAAGATCAAACCATGTGGCACAATGAAATCAACTGAATGCTGGATGTGCACGCTGCGATTTTACAATCAGTCTTGATTTTTACTCGTAATATTTATACAAGTAACCCCAGCTAAATCTTCAGTTGACTGTAAACCCCAAAACATCTTCTCACGCATCAAGTGTGCACGATATACATCAAAAATGATCCGTTTCAATCAATTTTGAATGCATTTTTGGCTTTTCATATCATAATCAGCATTGATAAAATCAGCAAATGGTGTCGAACGCAGCTTTATGGTGAAAACCTCACAATGCGCACCAGCAAAATGTTTCAAAGACGTATAAATAAGTTTATAAACCACAGATAAGATGGATGTAAATGGCAACCTGAACCAACACAACTGTATTCTAAATAAACTCACTAAAAGTATGTTAAGAAAACATTCTCAAATAGAAACTAAATGGTAAACAAACACGGCATAACCAATGCAAAGCACAAGAGAGAAAAATAATAATAAATAAGCACAACACATTTCAGGAGACACAAAAGGCTCGAGTGGTTAATGCATATGACGGATGCAAACATTCAGTCTTTCAGACCAAGGCAAAACCTACTGCATCTTGGGATTGCAAAGCTCTAAAACGCAATCTCTTCATGATGCCAGTGAGTAGCTACAACACTGGGTGAAAATAAACAAACTTAAATCAAGGAGGGGATTAAACTAAATCTGATACATCCTATAATACGTTTAGTCAACAGACAAAATGTGACTAAACAAAAGCTGAAGCCCTGAAGAGCTACTGTGTAGTGTTTATAGATCAGAAGTGTCCAAACTTGGTCCTGGAGAACCAGTGTCCTGCATAGTTTAGCTCCACCTTCTCCCTGGAAGTTTCTAGTATACCTAGAAAGAGCTTGATTAGCTGGTTCAGGTGTGTTTAATTGGGTATGGAACTAAAATATGTAAGCCACCGCCCCTGTAGGATTGAGTTTGGACATGCCTGTTATTAATGGTTTTCTGTTGAGTGATATTGCTGAGAGGTTTCATTTCTCAATAAATAGCGCCACTGCGGGAACACTTTACTTGGAAGAGGTGTTCATAAGACTGTCATAAATCCTTTATAATCATGATATGTCATTGAGATTTTATGTGTGCTTACGACAAACTGTTATAAAGTGTCATTTCGCGCAGTCATTTTAAATGCAAAGATGACATTGACAACTTGACAAACAATTACATCACAACCAGTCTCACAATTTGAGATTTACAAGCCAACATACTCACATTTTTAAAACTACTTACTTAACGTGAGCTGAAACATCACAATTCTTAACACAACTTAATTGTTTTATGTTCAATCCACTTAAATTTGTAAAAAAAAAACAAAAAAAAAACAATTAAGCTAACTTGATTAGTTTGTGTTGGGACAACATAAATGAATTGTGTGGAAACCTGAATTGTTTACAGTGTAACTTGTCATAAATCTGTCATAAACATGATCGTCATGAAGACATTATAATTGTGTTATGAATAGTTTTCTGATCACGTTTTCAGAGAAATAAGCTGTATTTATCAATAATATGTCTCATTAAAAGTGTTATTACTAAATTGGTAACACTTTATTTTGATGGTCTATTTGAGTATTAGTAGACTGTATGCCTAATATCTGTTGATACTGCTCCTTCAACAGGCATTTTAGACTATAAGAAACTTTGCCAGTACATGTCAACTTACACTAACCCTAATCTAACAGTCTACTTATAATCTAATGAGAATTAGTTGGCATGTAGATTCATTGTAACTTGAATTCAACAAACGGACCATCAAAATAAAGTTGTGACCAATCATTTTTTAACAGCATCGTTAATATTTGATGATGTTTTAATGACAAATTTACCACTGTAGTTGAGGTAAAAATATACATCAATGAATGACGTTGTTATAAAATTCATGTTATTTGTAATGACTCATGACAATCATGTTTATGACAGATTTATGACAGGTTTTGTTGTTTTGGTAATGTCAAGTTGTCATGACAAATTCAAAAAAAGGTTGCATTTGTTTATGTTAAGTTGTCGTTACAAACAATGTCATCTTTGCATTTAAAATGTCTAAACTGAGCGAAATTGCTCTTAATGATAGTTGCCAATAGCATTCATAAAATCTTATTCAAAGGGGAAATGGAGCACTCAAGTTTGCATTATTTTGTACATTGGATTCCACTTTAATGAAAATATAATAAACAAACTCGATTAATGTAACCATTTAGCAGAAAACGGCATATTTTACTACATATTTTAGACCTAGGACGCCACTATCTTGGAATGCCGCTGTGTCTGATGTCACAGGGTTGGTTCCGTTCCTTCAGCTGAACAGATACTATGGAAGTAAGAGACTGATCATGAAAATTGAACAGCCTAATTACACAATGCGTGAAGCTGGTGCAAATATAAGCATCAGATGTGTGTCTAATATAAAAATAGATATTTATTTTCTTTTTAATTACTGATCATTTGATGTGCTTTGGTCCACTCTCTTTATTATGCTGCCTGAGTCAATGGGTTTCAACAAGGTCCGCTACTGACATAATGGGGGCGGGTACTTTCACTTTTCACTGCTACTGCTGCTCAAATCTGTTCGTGTTCGAACCAAACTAAGATCGCCACGGTTTTTCACATGGCAGATTTTTATCCTTCATACATGTTGTGAGAGCGAGCTGATTAGCTTGAAAAGGGAATATGTTATGACATAACCGACACAGACGTGACTTAGTAAAGCGTGAAGTCATGTATGATTTTAATTGTCGCACTAATCTGTCCCTGGAGCAGCGTGAGTGGACCACAGGGCATCAAACAAAAGGTATTAAAAAATGAAATAAAATAAAATAAAAAATTACACAACTTAAGACACTTAAATGCTTGTATTTGCACCAGCGATGCACATCCACAACTTCATGGTTAAATCAGGCTGTCCAGTCTCTGTGTTCAGTCCGTTACTGCCATGCTTGAAACCCAGACAGGTAGTCAGGCAGCGTAATACAGATAGTGAACCAAATAGTCAGTAACTAAAAGAGGCAAAAAGAAAAATAGAAAATGTATTTTTATATTAGACACACATCTGATGCTTGTATTTACACCAGCTCCACGTCCACAACTGCACACATTGGGTTAAATTAGGCTGTTTCAGTTTTTGTTTTCAGTCCATTACTTTCACAGTATCCGTTCACCTGAGGGAACAGAACCAACCCTGTGATGTCAGACACAGCGACATTCCAAGATGGTAGCATCCTAGATCTAAAATCTATAGTAAAACATGCCGTTTACTGCTAAATGGTTACATTAATTGTTTGTTTATTATATTTTCAAGTGGAATCCAATATACAAAATAATGTAAACTTAACTGAGTGCTTAATTTCCCCCTTTAAATATATTATGTCTTATGAACACCCCTTCAAGTAAAATGTTACCACAAAGGCTAAAATAAGTGGTTAAAAAGGCAGTAATATAGCAGGAAGATCCTTCAAGTGATGCAAGTATTTCACAGGAGTGCTATAGGTGGACGGCGCTAGTTTAGCTTACTAATTTTGGGCTGATGGTATCCTTCATTACTTCATCACAGCTTTGTTAGTGGCAAAAGCAGCTGTGAATAGGCTGTGCGCGTTCCTTGAACCACTTCACCAACTTTATAGTCAGTCCTTGGTTGTTCAGGCGACTCTGTAGGCTGTCATTCGAGTGTAGTGTTGGCGGTGGCTCCTCGCAGCCCATATGAAAAGCGCAGCCGCCATGACCTGAAGCGGAGACGACACCAGCGCCAAAAACAAGGACCAGCCTGGAGAATAGTCCATTCCTTCGGGCAGCTCTGATATATCATGAAGCAAATGCAGTCCCGTGAGGAAACAGCAAACGGTCCCCAGGGAACACAGGCCTGCGTGTAGAATGATTGTTAAAGTACACATGAAGTCAAAACTAGCCGTATTGATTTTGTTAGCTTATATTGCTAGTTCTATGGTGAACAATTCATCTGTGCATTTCATTTCAAAATTTAAATCTGAAAACACTTCCTGTTTTCAGTTGAATTCTCAGATTATGTCTATCTGAGGTATCGGGCGTGGCTAACATACTTAACCACACCCCTCCAGCTGTCAGTTTGGACAACAGACATTGTGAGGAGGAGTCTGTTAGGTTGTAAAAACTCTCCCCAAACACTTTACCCAATCTTTCTGAATGAAATGCCTACTTTATTACACCCAATCAGCTCGCAGTAGAAAAAACAAGCCACCGTGGGGTGTTTTCTCATTCCGTTTCTCTCCCTTTTCTCACTTTGTCCTAATCAAGGGCAAGCTGAGGGGGTGTTTTTTAGCCTAACTGTCCAAATGAATCTTTCTTCGTTTCTAAATGCTACCACCTAAGATCTGTCTCCCCTGAAAAGTTGTTTGTGATGTTTTGTGTATGGTCTGGGGGGTCCAATCTCGCTATACGAAAGTGTAGTGACAAATAAATTGAATCTGAATCTGAATCTGAACTGCGTCACAATACAGAAAAAAAAGCAGTTGCAGCTTCCAGTTCAGAACTGAACAGTCTTCTTCCTGGAAGTAGCTGTAATTACTCCCCTATTATACATAATGAACCGTTGTCTTACCAGCCATCAGATGCAGCAGCCCTACGAACAGTGTTGGAGTAATACTGCGACACAGACAGGCACACACTCCGATTAATGCCGCGAGAAACACCAAACCCACGGAGATCAGCGGCAGCAGGAACTGACACTTCCACAGGTCTGAGAACACACACATCACAATCATGAATGATGAATCTAGAATCAAATAATGACCACATTTATTGATTATGGAATAAATATTATTTATATATTTGTACATATATATATTTATTTTTTCAAATATACATATATTTATTAGACCTCAACGCATTCTAAGGAGGTATGGGTGTTAGGCTATATTTACACTAATGTGTATTTGTTTTAGAGCAAGGGTCACCAATCTCGGCCCAGGAGGGCCGGTGTCCCTGCAGGGTTTAGCTCCAACTTGCCTCAACACACCTGCCTGGGTGTTTCAAGTATACCTAGTAAGACCTTGATTAGCTTGTTCAGGTGTGTTTGATTAGGGTTGGAGCTAAAATCTGCAGGACACCGGCCCTCCAGGAACAAGTTTGGTGACCACTGTTTTAAGAGTGTCACAAAAAGTTCATTGACAAATTTGTGTGCAGATGGTCGTAAATTTGGTGCAAGCTTGCTATGGCTTGTTAAAGGGTCACAAAACACTGAAACACATTTTTTTTAGATGTTGACAGTCATATATGTGTCCTACATTGCTAAAAACACTATTAGGAGACATATACTAGCAATCATTGGAGTGTGGAGTCTGGAATTGGCTGTCTGTACCGGCCGGTACAAAGTGACGTCATTGAGTTTTCAGCACATATTTGTTGATTAATTCACGAGAAAGACTTGGTTTGAACCAATCAGTGCGCTCTATTGTGAACGAGATGCAACTTCATTAATATGCATGGTATAGCTTCGAAGACTCTTTTTACCCGTTAACAGTGTTCAGAGAGATGCCACCAGGGCCGGAGCAAGCTGAACTGCCGCTCTAGGCAGAGGACGATCATGCCGCCCTCAACCCCAATGTGAAAACGAAAGTGACCTGGTTATGAAAATGAAGTGACGTGTCGCGGACCTTTATTCTGCCGCCCTATGCGCGGATATAACCGAGGACGCGCGGGTGCTGAGGGAGGGAGGGAGGTGTTGCGGACACTGCGCTCTCTATTCTGCCGCCCTATGCGCGGATATAACTGAGGACGCGCGGGTGCTGAGGGAGGGAGGTTTCGCGGACACTGCGCTCTCTATTCTGCCGCCCTATGCGCGGATATAACTGAGGACGCGCGGGTGCTGAGGGAGGGAGGTTTCGCGGACACTGCGCTCTCTATTCTGCCGCCCTATGCGCGGATATAACTGAGGACACGCGGGTGCTGATGGAGGTGTCGCTGACGCCGCCCTCTCTATTCTGTCGTCTATGGGCGAATATATCTGAGGACGCGGGTGGTGAGGGAGGTGTCGCGGACATAACTGAGGACGCGGGTGGTAAGGGAGGTGTCGCGGATGCCGCCGTCTCTATACTGCCGCCCTAGGCGGCCGCCTAGGTCGCCTTTATGGACGCGCCGGCCCTGGATGCCACGTTGTGTTGCCAACCGTAATTCAAACAAATACTAGAATTGTTCGGAGACATGGGTCTGCTAACACGCAACAAAAATATGTTTGCCCCACGTCACCCCCAGCTTCCACCACATATGACTATTGCGGATACACACATTGCGATATCGGTGATCAAGCAACATATTATGCAGCCCTAATATATCCTAAACTTTACAATAGTTTTAAATATAGAATTAAATATAAAAATGAAATATGCTAGTCAGGACATACATGTACGCAGCAGATCTTCTCCGGTGTTGATATTTCCAGGTGATTTATACTTAGATTCCCACTGCTGCTGCAAAGTAAAGGCCTGACATTTAGTCACCATCACTGGATCTGGAAAAAAAGCACAAGCCAAGCGAAGAGACAGACAAAGCAAAAAGTAGTTAGCATCTTTTTTTAACTTAACACACAGTGATAACTTCTAATCATGGTAGTGTAGTGTTATTTGAGGTTTTAAACTGACAGGGTTTAGTCTGTGGACAAAAATATGAAGTGAATCTTTCTTTACCCTCCTTATCTTTTAAAGCTGAATTAGTCTCCTTACCAGGTGCTTTAAACCAATGCGAGTCTTGATGCACCCGAATGCAACGCCACCACAGACCCAGCGTGCCGTTCAACTGGAACAGAGCTTTACTGTAGCTCATCTCATCCACATCTTCCCCCTCAAAGTCCAGCCGGAGGTTCTGGAGGTCTGAGCCGTTGTTGATGTCGTTGCTGGCCGGCTGGCTGTGGTACTGGAACCAGTGCTGAGTGCCCATTGCAACAGACAGATAGACAGTGGCAAGCAGGCTCAACACAGAGCCGATCACCAGCGCTGTGGCGTAACGGTTGTCCACCATGTTGTTTTTTGTTGCAAAAATGACTTTCAGATGGCTAACAATTAAGTTTAGCAGATGAGTTTGGTGAGAGATGCAACGGTCATATCGTTTGTGCTGTTTAAACACTGGTTTCTTTTCATCTTCCAACGTTTATCCAATTCAGATCGTCTTATCTCAAGCTCATCAATGCGAAACGTCTTGACTGACAAAGCAATGTGTGATCTGAAACAGAAAGAAGTGTGATTAAATTATAAAACTGACAAACAAAGCGCGTTTATGAGGTACCAGTTGCTTTTAAGTTGGAATGAGTCACAGGATTTACAAAGGTTTGCCAAAGACACTCCTAGTATTGAGTCATTTATTAATGCAGCTCAATAACCATGAACTAAACTATCTATTTAGCCTTTGAAATAATGTGTAATTATCACTGCATTACATTGTTTCAGGTTAAAGCCACTAAACTATATATAATAACACAATAAATGATGTCGTTAGTCACTTGTTGGCAACTCAGAGACTTATAATTACAAAAAGGTACAACAACAAAACACACTGTATAAAACTATCACTTTTAAAATATTTACTAACCACCAATTAACATTAGTACATACATTACTTATGGCCGTGTCAAAGAACATGTTTTAATACTGTAACCAGCATTAAAATTATTTTTCATTAAAAGATATTGTATGGTAATGAATAAATTGATTATGTGAAAGTGTTTTTATCAGGTCGATTTAGGTTAGGTACTTTAATATTCAGTAAAAATAGCAAAAAAATGAATTTAGGTAGCGCTTAAATATATAAAAGACATACAATATAATTGAATTCAATGTGTAATTATCACTGCACTACAATGTTTCAGGTTAAAGACACTAAACTATATATAATAACACAATAAATGATGTCGTTAGCCACTTGTTGGCAAGTCAGAGACTTATAAATACAAAAGGTACAACAACAAAACACACTGAATAAAACATAACACTTTTAAAATATGTATTTTGTATATTTCAATTTACTAACCATCACTATCATTCATTAATACATTACTTACCGTGTAATATAACATATTTCAATACTTTAATCAGTTAAAAGTAATTCAATGAAAGAAATTGTACGTAAATAAATAAATCGATGATGTGAAAGTGATTTTACCAGGTCGATTCAGGTTAGGTACTTCAATATTCAGTAAACAGAATAATAAATGAATTCAGGTAGCGCTTAAATATATAAAGGACATTTATTTCGGCATACAGTATAATTTGGACATATTTAAGGACCGCAGATGCTCAATGTTTCACATATTAAAGTTGTTTGGTGTTTACTAGCATTAGCGCTAACATGCTAGTGTGTTTTAGCGACATACTCGACTTTGACGACTTACAAAATAACGTAATTAAAGTGTTATGTACATATAATACACATCAATGAGCATTTTATCAAAAATAAAAGAAAGCTTTTGTTCAAAACAATAAAAGATTGTCGCGACTGTCACTTACCATATTGCGCACACCCTTCGGGCTGATGATGACGACTCCATTTCCTGTTACGATTATCAGTGCGCGTGCACGTCACAACAATGACCTCAATCCGCACGGACACGAGCATAGTGTTACTTGAGTATCACAAATGTAAACCAAAGGAAGACTAAATAAATAAATAAATAAATAAGTTAAACGTTTTCTTTACTGTCATGCTATCAGAGCCCTTAAAATGAGGATTATTTCTCTTCTCCATTTTAGTTATGATTGGATTTCAGTTAACTTTCCATTCAACTCTTTAGTTTTTTCAAACCAAACCATAAGAATAGTAATACTTTAACAATACATTTACCATAAGAAATATAGCAACCACAGTTTCATTTGGGGCATTCACATACAAAAGATGAACAAAACAATAATATATCTCATCATTACTGAACTAAACTCAACTGTGAAAACTAGACTGACACAGTTTCAATCTACTATAACTTTTATGTTAAGCTGCTGTGACACATTAATGTACATTGTAAAAGTGCTATAGAAATATTGATCAATTGAAAAACAAAAGCAGCTTTTTAAACATATGTTTTATTTACACATAACCATGATTTCTGTTTAGCATTAATAATACAAAAGTGCATGCCATGTTTCCTGTCTTTTCTTTCACTAAAGCTAAATTTCTGTTATTGATCGCTTCACATTTCTAAATGGGTTTAAGTTGTTACAGATTCGTTTTGTGATTTATGTTCATTGTTCCAGTGCTGGGTATTTGATTTATGCACACTTTTTGTGCAATGGAAATGTCTGATCCCTTCATATACAGTTGAAGTCAAAATGATTATCCCTCAGTGAATTTTTTTTCAACAGAGCAAGGACTTTTCTTACACTGTTTTTCCTATAATATTTTCTTCATATACAGAAACAGATTTTTAAAGACATACAGATTTCTAAAAATCATCCAGCATCATTATAAAGTGTGATATTTCAAAGCACCAGCCAACATGAGGTGCAAAATTAAAATCAATGATTACCAATGAAGGCACTTCTAAACATTGTAGAATGTTCATCCAAAATAAAAAAGAAAGCTTTAGTAATATTTAAAATAACAGTGCAAAAAATAGAATAATCTAAAATCTGTGTTTGAAAATGTGTTAAAGAGATCAGTGTTAAGGAAAGTTACTTAAGAAAGTAACAAAAAAGTAACTAATTGAGTTACTTAGTTACTTTATATTGTAAGTAATGCCTTACGTTACTTTTGCGTAACATTTTCAGAATTTGCAGTTTTTTTTTCTCCTTTTTAAAAAAAAGAAGAGCTCTCCATGCCGTATATACAGATTATTGAAAGTTTAAATCAATGTGTTGCTACTTTTGTACTTTTTGTCTTATTAGTTAAGTAAAATCAACAACCATTGAGACAAACCCCTTTTCCTTTTCTTCAAAGTGTTCAAAATAATGTACGCATTGAGTGCATGATTCAGTGTGCCTACATTAATTTTATTTTAAGAATTTATTTTTATTAGTCATTTAATTAAAATAAAAATTATCTTGCTTTACATTTAAAAAAAGTAACTTAAATATTATCACTTTTTTTTTTTAAGTAATACAATACTTGCTCGTTACTTAAAAAAGTAATATTATTATGTAACTCATGTTATTTGTAATGCATTACCCCAACACTGAAAGCGATAGTTCACCCAAAAATAAAACTGACTTACTCTTAAACTTTTATGAGTTTCTTACTTCTGTTGCTGAAAACCTGTTACCATTGACTTCTATACTAGGATAAACAAATAGAATGGAAGTCAATGGTTACAGGTTTCAATCTTTCTTCAAAATATTTTCTTTTGCGTTCAAAGGAATAAAAAGAGTGTGAGTGTGCATCACAGGTGAGTGGGCTTTACAAACCACCTCTAAAAAAACACACTCTTCCACCTCACTGACACATTAACCAACACTTGCCCCAGTTTTGCACCAGATACATTCTTACAGTTACTCCATATCATTAATTCATTTACCATTTATTTATCAGGAGTCACCACAGTGGAATAAACCATCAATTATTCCAGTTTTAAGCAGCGGATGTCCTTCCAGCCGCAATCCAGTATTATAAAAACATCCATACACTCTCTCTCTCTCTCTCTCTCTCTCTCACACACACACACACACACACACACACACACACACACACACACACACACACACACACACACACACACACACACACACACACACACACACACACACACACACACACACACTCTCTCTCTCTCTCTCTCTCTCTCTCTCTCTCTCTCTCTCTCTCTCTCTCTCTCTCTCTCTCTCAAACACTACAGCCAATTTAGTTTATTCAATTCCCCTATACTGCATAGGGGAAACCGGGGCACCCGGAGGAAACCCACGCCAACACGGGGAGAACATGCAAACTCCACACAGAAATGCCCACTGGCCCAACTTGGACTCAAACCAGCGACCTTCTTGCTGTGAGATGACAGTGCTAACCACTGAGCCATATTAGCATTTGTGTGTATTGCTTTTTCTTGTAGAATCCCTGAATACCTCTTCAATTGTAAGTCGCTTTGCACAAAAGCATCTGCTAAATGTAAATGTAAACAACAAACAGGTTTTAATCAGAGTGAGATGTGAGAAAATGGTTTAATTTTTGGGTGAACTATCCCTTTAACATCATAATGAGTAGCAATATACATCTTCTACTGCACATTTTTCAATAATACAGTGCCTGAGCAGCCTTGATCAGCCCCTGATCATTTGCAAGATATTATATTTCACAGTGATCACACAATCCAGCTGTAATTTAATCCATATAGTGCTGATGATCTCCAACGTCATCCCTCAGATTCCTTCAAACGAACAAAATTTGTTGCACAATATAAACAATTTCTGCAACTGGAAGCGGCTGTAAACTCAAAAGAGGTCTTGTTTGTTGAATAGTTGTCTCTTGTATTGGCCGTTCACGGTGCCGTTTAAAATAGGAGTATCAGTGAACTCCACCATGCAGGAACCTGAGGAGCAAGGAGACGCCTCAAGCTCCAGGACGGTTATGTTGTTTTGGACGGAGGTGCTGAGCAGGTGCGCCGGGACAAAGAGAGTGATCTGTGGCCCACGGGACGGCCAGTAGCGGCCAACGTTAAATCCATTTATCCACACTTGACCCTGAAATGAAAATGCAAGTTATGTTTGTTGTTTATTTTACCAGTGCTAATGAATTGTTATTGACTGCTTCACATTTATAAATGGCTTACAGCATGATCAACAGTGGGAGCTTAAAAATGAAATGAACTGGTGTGACAATTTAAAACCAAATTAGGTTGAAATAAATGATACAAAACTAAAACTTATTTTCCCACCAATTTAAAAGCCTTCTTTGCAACTGGTATTTAAATACCTTTACTTGATTAATTAATTTATTAATGCAGATGTAAATGGGGTCTAGAAAGTTTTGTGCTTGTTCACTTTCAAACTTTCTTCCACCTCCAGAGGTCGTGTTTTAGTGTTTACAAAAAGTAAAAATCAAATGTTCTCTTGCTAGTCCTGGCTCCAACACAGTGCTGTTAATTAGGGAATGAAGGCTAAATGTTTTCGCATCATGTTCTGTTGCCTCCTCTCATGTGTATACACTTTCAGAATAATTTAGTCACTATAAATGCTTTGATAAAATTATCAAGGCATTTGGTTATATATTAGATAATTATTTGACTATAAATTTTATATATATATATATATATATATATATATATATATATATATATATATATATATATATAGTTGAAGTCAGAATTATAAGCCCTCCTGTTTATTTTTTTCCCAATTTCTGTTTAACGGAGAGTAGATTTTTTCAACACATTTCTAAACATAATAGTTTTAATAACTGATTTATTTTTCTTAATGATGACAGTAATTAATATTTGACTAGATATTTTTCAAGACACTTCTAAACAGCTTAAAGTGACATTTAAAGGCTTAACTAGGTTAATTAGGTTAACTAGGCAGGTTAGGGTAATTAGGAAAGTTGTTGTATAACGATGGTTTGTTCTGAAGACTATCGACTATCGACTATCCTAAAGGGGCTAATAAATTTGACCCTAAAATGGTTCTAAAAAAAATAAAAACTTTATTCTAGCCGAAATAAAACAAATAAGACTTTCTCTAGAAGGAAAAATATTATCAGACATACTGTGAAAATTTCCTTGCTCTGTTAAACATCATTTGGGAAGTATTTATAATTGAAACCAAAATTCAAAGGGGGGCTAATAATTCTGACTTCAACTGTATAATAATAGCCGTCCTGTGCTTTCTCTTCAGAGAGTAGATCTAAAATAGTTGCAGTTTAAATGTAAATAATTTTTTATATAAATGTTAAAATTGTATACATGTTGTATTAGGAAGTAATAATGGCAAGAGATTTAAACCGTTTATACATTTTTATTTATAAAGTAAATCTCTTCAAAAAATAACGCTTTACATACACGTTTAGCTCACCACATAGCTTTACATAACCTTTTATGCATTTTCTAAACAAGTAAAAAGAAAATTCTTTTAAAATGTTTTTCCCTTAAAACAAGTTAAATAATCTGTCAGTAGAGTAAGCAAAATAAACATGTTATTAGATTATTTTGCTTAAAATATTTAGCTTGTTTTAAGCATAAATTTAAGCATTTAATTTTGAGTGAAAACAAGACAAAAATGTTTACTTGTCTAGAAAAGGCTTCTTGATTCTTATACTAAAACAGACAAAAACTCCAAGTGGAAAAATCAATATTTTCTGCTTGAATTATCATTTCGGAAGTCAACAAATCCAGTCAGTAGAGTAAGACAAATAAACTTGTTTTTAAATGATTTTGCTGAGAATATTTTGCTTTTTTAAGCTGAAATTTGCTTAATTTTCATATTTTTTTCTGAAAACAAGACAAAAGGAAAAGACAAAGAAAAAAAATATTTAGTGCAGGGAAAAGAAGTATTAAACCCATCATGTTTTTTCCTGAAAATTATAATAAAATTATAAATTACATAACTACATTTATGAACTAATTAGATTTGTTTTCTTTGCATATGGATTTATTTGGTTTCTATCAACATTTAGGGAAAATATCAAGTCCACAGCACCTTTAGAAATATGTTTTCTGAGAAAAATAGTGAAGTTATCAATACTTATTTTCCACTCTGTACTTGTCTAGAAAATGCTTCTTGGTATTATTACTAGAAACAAGGCAAAAACTCCAAGTAAGAAAATCATCATTTGCTGTGTGAATTATCATTCTGGAAGTGAACAAATCTAGCTGTAAACAGAGAGTCGTACCTTCCTCCAGTCGGGGAACTGGATATAGGTGTCCTGAGGGAGATCAGGGATACCGTCAGGAATGATGAAGCTGCCTGTGTAGAAGGTTGGAGGTGAAAGAGCAGGCGGAGGTGTGCTGGTGGAGCTGGTGGAGGAGGAGCCTGAAGCTAAAAGCAAACCCTTGCTGACTGCTTCATCGACACTCAGGGAATACACAGTCCAGTTAACCAGAACATCAGCACCGAGTGTCAGATTAAACACCAGACCCTGAAGAGCACAGAGTGAGATGATAAACAGAGAATTATGGAAGAGAAAGAAAGTATATGGAAAACAGCAAAGGTGTTTAAAAATAGATCAGAACTGGGAAATAATTCAAACATACTTTTGTTCGATATTTAAAATGATCTTTCTTTCTTTATTCAAGTTCACTGCAAAAAAAGCTTGTCTTACTTAGAATTTTGTCTTGTTTCTAGTCCACTCTGGCACAGATGTCCAGTCTGCACGCTGGAATACAGGCTATTATGTCATGACCGTGACGCAGCTTCAAAAATTCATTTCAAACCGGAAGTAAGAATTTGCTTGAAATAACACAAAAACAACCAATTTACACTTTTTAGTGAAATATAGGTGTCCTAATAGTGTTTTTAGCAGTGTGGGACACATATACGACTGTCAACAGCTCAAAAAATGTGTTTTGGTGTTTCGTGACCCTTTAAATCAAGAAGCTTTTTCAAGACGAGAAAAACATATAGTCTTGTTTTAAGAAATAATGTCAAAATTAGCTGAATTTTTCCTTAAAACATGCTAAATAATTGTGGTAATGGGGTAAGCAAAATAATCTTAGGACAAAAGGAAAAACACAATTATTTTGCTTACGCCACTGGCAGATTATTTTGCTTGTTTTAAGGCAAAAATCACTTAATTTTGACATCATATCTTAAAACAAGACAATATTTTTGCTTGTCTAGAAAATGCAGTTTGATTTAAGAATTTTTAGATATTTAGACTAGAAACAAGATGAAAAATTTAAGCAAAAAAGCAATTTATTGTTATTATTTTATCTTTATTTACTGTTTTTATTTTAAGTTAATGCTATGTGTGTGTCGTCATGTTTATAAAAAGCTCAATAGAAACAGTAAAAATGCAATAGCCTTGCAATAATAATATTAATAATAATAATAATAAAAAGGGTGAGGCAGTGGCGCAGTAGGTAGTGCTGTCGCCTCACAGCAAGAAGGTCGCTGGTTCGAACCTCAGCTCGGTTGGCGTTTCTGTGTGGAGTTTGCATGTTCTTCCTGCCTTCGCGTGGGTTTCCTCCGGGTGCTCCGGTTTCCCCCACAGTCCAGACATGCGGTACAGGTGAATTGGGTAGGCTAAATCGTCCATAGTGTATAAGTGTTTGTGTTAATGTGTGTGTGTATGTTTCCCAGAGATGGGTTGCGGCTGGAAGGGCATCCGCTGCGTAAAAACTTGCTGGATAAGTTGGCGGTTCATTCCGCTGTGGCGACCCCGGATTAATAAAGGGACTAAGCCGACAAGAAAATGAATGAATGAATAATAAAAAGAAGAAAAGGAGGACGACATATTTGACATAACTTGAATGATCATCCAACCCAATTTACATCAGGCTGAACGATTTTACAGATAATTACTAAACATGTGGATGAAAATATTTATATTAGTTTGCCTTGAAGTCATTAATTCCTTTGCCGTAGTTGATTCTGCCCATGTTCTCCACCAGGACGTCCACACGGCTGCCAGCTTTCCCTGTTATATTGATGCTGAGTGCCTTGTTCCTCTCCAAAATACCAGCAGCAGTCTAAACAAAGAAATGATTTAGGAAACGCTGCACAAAATCAAACAATTAAAAACAGACATTACTCTGGTCTTTGATGTGAATGTCAATTTTATTTTGATAGATGAACTATGTAATTCTAATCTTTTTAATGCTTCACTGAGGGATCAAGTAAATCACCATCATTTGTCTTTGAAAGTAACTTAGACACATAAAATTAAGATAATATATAATAAAATAAAACTGCTGCTCACGCCATCAATGGAAATATATGCCCGATCGTGGACTCCATTCAGAGGGGACGACAGCGGCGTGGGCTTCACGCAGTTAACTGGTAGCACAGTTTGATAAAGCACGAACCCAAACGCCTGTAAGATAATCATACATTCATAATCAATGCACAGATTTAACCATGAACATCATCTGAAACCTTCTGACTGAGCATTAAAAAAAATAAAATCACTTAAAAAAAAAAACTAAAACTAACTAAATAACAATTAAACCTTGTGTATTGTTCAAATGTACTAGCCTTTCGTTAAGTTCAGGATGAAAATGTCCACTAAATTAAAAGCCATCAACTTTAAAGGAAGGAGGATTAAATAAGTTACATTAACATGAACTAAATCCAGGATTTTGACTCTTTACGTTCTGAAAAAACATGTGAAAAACACAGAAAATGACTTATTTTCAATGTAAAGGGTAATTGTGGCCTGGATTTGTTTTTACTTTTTATAACAGTCTTGGACATTTAAAAGATTAGCAAAAACATGCACTTGTGGAGCATCAGATTCAATTTTGTTCCTCCCTCATTTACTGTTTGTGGCTGTTTTTGACCCATTGCTTTCCATTATAATGACATTTTTTAATAGCAAAGCCATGACTGCATATAACAGTGATGGGTAAACTTTTTAGACCCGAGGGCCACATCACGTTTTGCAAAAAAGTAAAGGACCACATGTCAAATCCTTCAAAAAATAACTTATTTATAGTGGCAGTGTTCATTGAACATGTAATATCGGACAGAAACATGTCACATTAACACAAAACAGATTTTTTAATAGTTATTATTGAGTCAAATTTAAAAAAATCAAATGAATTTTTTTTTTGTTTGTTTTTAGCAGACGCTTTTATCCAAAGCGACTTACAAATGAGGACAAGGAAGCAATTTACACAACCAAGAGCAACAAAGAATAAGTGCTATAGGCAAGTTTCAGGTCTGTAAAGTCTAAGAAGGGAAGTATTAGTAGTATTAGTATATATATATATATATATATATATATATATATATATATATATATATATATATATATATATATATATATATATATTTTTTTTTTTTTTTTTTTTTTTTTGGTACAGTTAGTGTGATATTCAGAGAGGCAATTGCAGATTAGGAAGTGTAGTGGAGACTAAATAGTTTGCACTGCTATTTAAATTTACTTATCAATCATCATAAAACAATGAAATGTAATAATAATAGTAATAATAATAATAATAATAATAATAATAATAATAATAATAATAATAGTAATAATAATAATAATAATAATGTAATATTTTTTACAGTGGGGAGATATTGTCTGATAGAAAAAAATTTCATATTAACACATTAAAAATAATTCTTAAAGTTTACTATTCAGTCAAATTTACAATAATCTAATATGCACTGCTTTTAGAATATACAGATCAATCATTATAAAACTTGATGAAACCACAAATCTTTGATCAAAGAACTTTGTATGCATGCAAAATATATTCTATGACAAAAAGTAACGCATTTAACAAGCAATTATTATACAATTTAAGTCAAATTGACAACAATCTCATTTGAGCTTGTATTAATATGCTCATATCAATCATAAAACTTATGAAATAAAACGGAAGAAGAATCTTAGTCTTTGTTATTCCAGGTTACGTTATTATGAGTGTGTTACTGTAAACAATGAGCCTGAAAATAAAGTTATATTAAAATCAACAGCAACACTCTCACTTGTATTGCATCATTAAACTGCTAATTCTGCACCAAACCGTTACTCAGAAGCAGCATTTTAAAAACTCCCTCACGGGCCGGATGAAAGTGTTCAGCGGGCCGCATATGGCCCGCGGGCTGTAGTTTGCCCACCTCTGGCATTTAATAATGCATTCTTGATTGTTAGTGGTTTTCCCTGCTACAATTTGTAATTTTTAACCCTTTAGATAGGCCTGTGCAAAGAAAGTGTTAAATAAAGTATAACAGTAAATGTTGTGCGTGCATAAATACAACAACAAAAACTATATGAGTAAACAAAAACAAAATCATCTCAAAGCATTTTCCAGCAATGTGTGCCAAAATAAGATTTGTAACCAGAAATCATTCCGTTTGCTGAAACAAATTGCAAGTTGTGGCCAAATTAAGACTCAACAGCAAAATCTCCAATATAATATAAGAAAGGCATACCTGATTCATTTCAATAAATGTTGGAGGGTAAAGTGTTTTTACAGGGCCGGAGAAAGACAACACATCCAACGTCTCTGACACAGTCTTTAGCTGAGGATAAAAAGATGATTTATTTAAAAACAAGTCTTATATACAGTATACCTATATAGACATGCAAATATACAGAAACAACATACTTTCTTCATTTGCACTTTTCCATATGCAAATTTAGGTGTTGATGGAGGCAGAATTCCTTCTGGTACATCTTTATACTATATATAAAATAAAAACAACCAATCAACTTTATGATTTGCAACACAATGCAGTTACATTTTTCTATTGTTTGCTTTGTTGTGTCATGCATGTACGCATTTGTGTACAGTTGAAGTCAGAATTATTAGCCCCCCTGAATTATTAGCACCCGTTTATTTTTTTCACCAATTTCTGTTTAATCGAGGGAAGATTGTTTCAGCACATTTCTAATCATAATAGTTTTAATAACTTATTTCTAATAACGGATTTATTTTATCTTTAACATGATGACAGTAAATAATATTTTACTTGATGTTTTTCAAGACCCTTCTATACAGCTTAAAGTGGCATTTAAAGGCTTAACTAGGTTAATAAGGTGAACTAGGCAGGTTAGGGTAATTAGGCAAGTTATTGTATAACGATGGTTTGTTCTGCAGATTATTGAAAAAAAAATTAGCTTAAAGGGACTAATAATTTTGTCCCAAAAATGATTTTTTAAAAATTAATATCTGCTTTTAATCTAGCCGAAATAAAACAAACAAGACTTTCTCCAGAAGAAAGAATATTATCAGACAAACTCTGAAAATTTCCTTGCTCTGTTAAACATCATTTGGGAAATATTTAAAAAATAAAATAAAATCAAAAGGGGGCTAATAATTCTGACTTCAACTGTATGTATGAGATCTTTTTATCTTTTTATTTATATACTTATTTAGTTGTACTTGTGTTTTCCTGATACTTTGTTCGGTAGTGTGTGGTTTTATAGTGTTTGTGCATGTGTATATATGCATTTATGTCGTTTATATTGTATTTACAGTGTTATTTAATTCTGTTTGACCTAAGATGAAATTTATTTTTGATGCATTATTTTTGATGAAAAAGCAAAATAAAATAAATAAAAATAGATTAGTTCCAATACTATTAACAAGTAGTTTATTACCTGCATAAAATTAAGATACTGCTTGTATCTTAATGTATTGGCTACTTATCAGTACTTGTAAAGTACATTACCTGCATATTATTAAAATATTGGCTGTTTATTAGTACATATAGACCATTTTGAGGGATGTAAACAAAAAACAATGGTCCCAACGTATTTCCTGTTCCACATTTTTAACTTCGATAGCATCTGAGAATCCAATAAGAGTCCCATATTGATAAATAATGTTATGACAACCGTTTAACTTTAGGTTATGAGTGAATTGCCTCTTGTTACAGCTATAAAACAGTTTAATAACATGCAGGAAATGTTTATGGGTCAAACACAGTACATATTCTGCATGATCTTATTCTGAATCCTTAATAGCCAATATCTAAACCCAACTTTTACCTTAATAACTATTATTTAGCAGCAAATATGAGTTTATTGAGGCAAAAGTCACAGTTATTGGCTTGTTATTAGCAATAATTGTCCCTTAAAATAAAGCATGACCCGAAAAAAAATCTAAATCCCCCCCTCTCAATTTACCATTTTGATGACTTCCCTTATGGCGAAATATTTCTCAGTGAGATCTCCAGCCTCTGTAAGAGGAGAGTCATAGTCATAGCTGGTGGGTTGAGGACCATAAGGAGTGTTGGCACCTATAATGTGGTAAAAATAGAAAACAGACATGAATATGGACACGTTTTAATTTATTTTTAGTCTTGTTTATGTATAAATCTCCAACTTACCATTCCAATAGCCAAAGTTAGTTCCACCGATGAACATATACCTGACAAATGAATTACATAATGAACTCAAATGCAATGATGCAATACATTTCTGTTGTTAGTTGTTATAGATGAAAACTCACAGGTTGACATTGGCTCCAATTTCCAGAATTTCATTGAGAGTCTTGACTACAGCAGATGTAGGAACCACCGAGTGTTTTTCGCCCCAATGATCCAACCAGCCGGGGTAAAACTCAGAGTTCACCTGCAAAACCCTTCCTTTAGTTTTATTAGTACAGAACACACATCATGCTTGAATTCTGACACAATGTAGTTCAATTAAGTTAGCCAGCCAATATTATAATATATTTTATAATCAGTAAAGTAAATTATGTTTTCATATAATTGATTAAAAACAAATACAACAAACTAATTAACATATAATTTGTTTTTTTAACATATGAAAAAAGGTCTACAATTATTCTTTTCACAGCTGATCAGATCACAAAAAGGTGATTCCTGTTCACACCTGTTGCTGTAATGAATCTTTTCTACACACTTTTACCCATTTTTGTTATTTATTTTAGGGAAGGGTTGACAGGTAGATTGACTGATTGATTTTATTTGACAATTTTAACAAAAATATACAAACAAGTCCAGTTAGACTAATTCACACATATTTTAAAAACTGTTGAGGATAAATACACAAAAAAGCCACAGGCTTGTTTCCATTGTGGTCCTCGATATTCTTAAAAAATGAACGAGCAAATCATAAATGGAGTGTGAACATCATCAGCTCGGCACCTCGGCACAATCAAATTCTCCACTTCAACTGTAAAACAACTACTAATTTCCCTTCTAAAAACACTCAATCAATCTGAATCTCTTTAAAAATCGTGGGCAAAACATTTCAAGCAGCAGAGCTCGTCCACAAAAACAAATTTCTACCTGATTCGCTCTTAAATCTATATAGGTAAATATCCCTGCTACGCGCTCTTGTAGAATGACAATGTACCTCACTAACTAAAACATAATAATTAAGAGAATATTTTGGGACCATATTCTTTTAAATCTTAAAAACCATCACTAATTAAAAAAATGTGCATATATATATTATTCCTTACATATATACATAATATATTTACATATATTTAGCTGGGCACTCAAAGTGGTTTACACATAGGGGGGAATCTCCTCATCCACCATCAGTGTGCAGCATCTAATTTGGCCAGGGGTTAAAACCCTACTTTTTTGAAGAATATCCTGGGATTTTTAACGACCACAGAGAGTCAGAGCAGAGTCTAAGCAGTATAGAGTCCCCTTGACTATATTAAGGTGTTAAGACCCACTCAGACCACAGGTTGAGCGCCCCCTGCTGGCCTCAGTAACACCACTTCTGGCAGGTTTCCGATGTTGTTTCCTATTTAGGTACTGACTGCTTAGCTTCAGTGGGCGACCATGTGAGAGTTGCAGAGAGCTAGCTGCTCTCAGAATATAGGCCTATTCAGATATCTGATCAAAAACGCAAGTGCAATTTGCATATGAGTGTAAAAAAGACATTGAAATTGTCATTTAAGTAGCAGGTGTAAACAGAAAGTTTTCAGTTCTTACCAAAGGCCCACGTGGCTCAACATGCCTCTGTGCTTCAAACGCAGCGGTTACATTTGCACCTGCATAAAATACAAATTGGCCAAAAATAAAACAGCATTGTTTAACATTACGAACAGCAACAATTATTTTTAAAAGTTAATAATTCATTCATTTTCTTTCGGCTTAGTTCCTTTATTCAACTGAGGTCGCCACAGCGGAATGAACCGCCAACTTATCCAGGATATGTTTTACACGGTGGATGCCCTTTCCGCTGCAACCCAGTACTGGGAAACATCCATACACACTCATTCACTCACACACACTCATACACTACGGCCAATTTAGTTTATTTAATTCACCTGTACTGCATGTCTTTGGGAGAAACCCACGCAAACACAGGGAGAACATGCAAACTCCACACAGAAATGCCAACTGGCCCAGCCAGGACTCGAACCAGCGACCTTCATGCTGTGAGGCGACAGTGCTTACCACTGAGCCACCGTGTTGCCCCTTATTAGAAACTACTTAATTAAATTTCACAGATGGGCTAATCCTTTTGACTTCAACTGTAGGCGATGAATGGGGTATGCAGACCTGGGCCGAAGTCAACAGTGGCGTAGAGGCCCTGGAGGGATCCACATTTCAAGTAACCCAGACCTGCCCCATCAGTAGTGAACAGCACAGCCTCTTCCCCGAGATAAAACCGGAACAACTGGCTCAGATGACGCATGTAGTTAAAATCACAGGCGAAGTAGCTGCCGTACTCATTCTCTACCTGCATGACAAAGACAAATAATGCATAATTCCCCGAAATAATAAAAACAATCACACATATAGGTAGAAGAACTTGTGTTTGACATGAAAAGTGAGAAAGTTGCATCTTTTTAAAATTATATTGAATGCTAGAAAACACTTTACTTTAAACTCCACATGAACTGGAGGTTAGAGCCCTCCGGGAATTAAGTTTGAGACCACTGCTCTGAAGCGAGCTGGGTATTATCTGTGACAAAGTGGGCCTTGAAGCAGGGGAAAGAAGACAAAACCTGGTGTCTGGTTAGCTAGCAAGAGTCTCTTTATTTAAAATGACCACAAAAGAGTTCAAATTTAAATTCTTTCCGGTGATATATACTTTAAAAGCATCCATCAAAGTGCTCTCAGTGTTGAAATCTTGTTTAATAGTCTTTAAAATGTCACATTTTGATAAAATATGTTGTATGGTAAAGGAAGCTTCACAGTGGTTCCATGTTGGTGTTGAATCATTCTTCAATAGATCCAATAGAGTCAACCTACAGAGCCAAATTTGGCATCTCATATATCAGTTTGAAATAAAAGTAAATTAAATATAAAAAGAGTCTTTTATATATGTTCTGGTTGATTTTTTGCAGTTTATTATATGTATCGTGGTACAGTTATCCCATTGCACTTTCCATTTTTCATACACTATATACTGAAATGAACTATGAATCGTATTATGCATGTGATGTTTATATACTGTATGTTATTCAAACCTTAGTGCATATGTGCTCATTTTACTGGTGTGATTGTTATATAACCGTCTTACCTGCACGGTAATGATTGGGCCTCCATTCTGGTACAGGTAACGCTTTATGATTGGCAACAGCTTCCCCATCCACTTGTCCACTGCTGCAAGGTAATCTAGAACAACATAAAGGAGCTTATGATCACACATTTCACTCATTTAACTGCATATCTGTCCAATATGAGGTCAATCAGAAACTTGTGTTATCACCTGGATCAGATGATCGAAGCACAATATCCTTTTTTTTCAGCAGCCAGGCAGGCAAACCACCCTACAACAAGACAAATAGAGCAAGCGTAAGTTAGAATAAATTGAATAAAAGAAATAAAGCATTAAAATTTATCTCTATATTAGTGATTGTAATAGATTTGAGAAAATTACCTTGGACACATTTATAAAAAACTATGGATACATAAACTATGACAAACTGGATATATTTTATAAGAATTTGTTGAGATTGTTATTGCATTCAGGAAAATGGATAATGCATGAATAAGAGAGAGAGAGAGAGAGAGAGAGAGAGTATTTTCATATCTGGACCCTGGACGACAAAATTGGTAAATTGCACAAATATATTTGTTGTAATAAACCATAAACACATTAGGGCTCTATTTTGATATTACATGCGCAAAGTCCAAAGCGCAGTGTGCAAAAGCATTACGGGTGTGTCCGAATCCACTTTTGCTATTTTAAGGATGGAAAAATCCACTTTGTGCCGTAGCACATGGTCTAACAGGGTTGAGCTTATTCTCTTAATGAGTTATACGTGTGTTTTGAGAATAAACCAATCAGAGTTTCATCTCCCATTCCCTTTAAGAGTCAGTTGCGTTGCGCCATAGCGCATTTGCTATTTACATGGCAGACTTTGTAAGTGGAAAAACTGAGCATTTCACTAGAGAGAAAACAGTTAAACAGAGCATCTACAGCGCGAGAATGAGAGATAAGCCTCCTCAATATTTACTTTCACTTTCACTCTTGTGGAGTGCAAATACATTTGCTATTTAAAAAGCGTGGTGCAAAACGCCAAAACGACTCTTACGCCGAGCTGAAACTAGCAAACAACAATTGCGTTGCGCCCTGTGCCACATTGCGCCGAGTGTTTGATAGGGCCCATTGTATTAGTCAAAATGACTGACTTTTTTAATGCCTAAAAACATGTTACATGAAGATATTTTATAAATAACATACTATGGATATATCAGAACTTTTTTGATTAGTAATGTGCATTGCTAAGCACTTATTTTAGACACCTTTAAAGGGAAAGTTCTCAATATTTTTATTTTATTGTTTGCACACAATTATTCAGTTCTGGAATTTAAGTTTCTCTGTGAAATATTGCCCTATCCTAACATATATTCTCTGCCTATAGAAAGTACAGTGTTTTCTCACCATATCCCACTCGGCACATATGTAGGGTCCTGGTCTCATGATGACCAGCAGGCCGATGTCTTGGCAGAGCTGGAGGAATTGCTCCAGATCTCGATCTCCACTGAAGTCGTACTGACCAGGAACTGCTTCGTGGAAGTTCCACGGCACATATCTGTGGATCATTTGCAAAATCCGAGCTGGAATGAGTTGGAAAGACTGTTGGAAATCCTAAATATTCTACAAGACTGGAGCTAAATCATTGATGGTTGTGCTTACGTCTGGATGGCGTTCAATCCAGCCATGTACATCTTGAGTAGCCGGTCTTTCCAATAGACTCTAGGGATCCGGCTGTAGTGGATACTGCCAGATATGTAGCGGAATGGCTCTCCATCTTTAAGAAAGCAGTTTCGATGGTAATCCACAGAAAAAGTGGGAGTTGTGGCGTACTGAAACAACAGGCAAAACAAAGTGCTTTAAATGAACAGCTCACCCAAAATTTAATATTAAGTCAATATTACACCACTTCCAGCAGCAACCTAGCTTTGCCATATGGTCTCACATCCAGGTACTGACCAGGTGCAGCCCTGCTTTATGTCAGTAGGCGACTATGTAACCCTTATTTCCCTTAAGTCCCTTATTTATCAGCTGTCACCACAGCGGAATGAACCTCTAACTATTCGGGCACATGTTTAACGCAGCAGATGCCTTCCAGACGCTACCCAATAATGGAAAATGGTTGACTATTATTGATTTTAAAAATGTCATGATGATACTGGAGTACGATAACCCAATGTTGGGTAAAATATACACAAACTCAACGCTGAAATCACAGTTTTTTTTCCAGACCAGGGGCGTTGCTAGGGTCGAAAGGGATAAGGGGCTTAGCCCCAAAGAAATTACCCTAACCTGCCTTTAAAGCCTTTAAATGTCACTTTAAGCTGTATAGAAGTGTTTTTAAAAATGTCTTGTCAAATATGACTGTCATCATGGCAAAGATAAAATAAATCAGTTATTAGAGTTGAGGTATTAAAACTATTATGATTAGAAATGTGCTGAAAACAAATTTCTCTCCGTTAAACAGAATTTGGGGAAAAAAATCAACAGGGGCTAATAATTCAGACTTCAACTGTATGTGCTCTTCCAACCATTTTATGTATTTTCATAAGAAAGTCGATTTATAATTTGATGCAAATTGACATAGCATGTTACACTAGAATATAGCTATATAACAATGTGCTAGATGAATAAACTCAGTGTGATTTAACTATTACAGAAACAAATGTGACTTGCTATCTCATATATATATTATATCTAGAAAGCTAGAACAATTTACGTTTTTTTTGTACTTACTTGCATGTATTTACATTGATATGATGCCCATTTTACTGATTATAGTTATTTTAAATCACCAGAACTACACACATTTTATACTGGGGAAACAAGTTTCATCAGTAGTTAAAAATATTCAGTTTCGCGAAAGAGTTGTATTATTACCTCATTAGCTTCAGCTCCTCAAAATAATGAATGAATGAAGTGCAGTGGCGGGATTTTTTTAACACCATGTGACAACAGAGCCACTCCCACCTGCCGGTAGAAACAGGTACTGCTGAACAGCTGACGATTTAATTACCTAACACAAACGCTGCGTTAAGTGGAATGTTCGTGATGTATGTGTTCATTTTCAGTACTTAGATAACAAAATAAATGTTATACAACATATTTTTATTTAAGTGCAATATATTCCAAGAGATCAGGGGCTTTTGACAATACATCAGGGGCTTAAGCCCCCAAAGCCCCCCCCTCTCAGTTCCTGGAGGGCCGCAGCCCTGCACAGTTTAGTTCCAACCCTGCTCCAACACACTTACCTGTAGGTTTCATACAACCATGAAGGATTCAATTAGTTTGATCAGCTGTGTTTAATTAGGGTTGGAACTAAACTGTGCAGCGAGGCTTTAGCGCAGTAGGTAGTGCTGTCGCCTCACAGCAAGAAGGTCACTGGTTCGAGCCTCAGCTGGCTCAGTTGGCGTTTCTGTGTGGAGTTTGCATGTTCTCCCTGCATTAGCGTGGGTTTCCTCCGGGGGCTCCGGTTTCCCCCACAGTCCAAAGACATGTGGTATAGGTGAATTAAGTAAGCTAAATTGTCTGTAGTATATGAGTGTGTGTGTGAATGAGTGTTAATGGATGTTTCCCAGAGATGGGTTGCAGCTGGAAGGGTATCCGCTGCATAAAAACGTGCTGGATAAGTTGGCAATTCATTCTGCTGTGGTGACCCCAGATTAATAAAGGAAATAAGTCGAAAAGAGAATTAATGAATGACTGAATGAATGAATGAATAAATGAATGAATGGATGGATGGATGAATGAATGAATGAATGAATGCATGAATGAATGAATGAATGAAAACTATGCAGAGCTGCGGCGCTCCAGGAATGGAGTTTAAGACCTATGCTTTAAAGGAATATTTCACAATTAAAAAATGTAAACTCTGTCATCATTTCCTAATCCTCCACTCGTTCCAAGCCTGTTTAAGTTTATTTCTTCTGCTAAGCACAAAGGAAAATATCCTCAAGAATGATGAACAAACAGCCATATTAGCCATTGACTTCCTTGTTTTATGTATTGTGGAAAAAAATCAGAAGATAAAAAAAGAATTGAGGAAGAGGACACTAGGAAATGCTTGATTATTTCAACACAAATTGCGTAAAATATAGTCAAACACAAACGTTGGGTTAAGGTTGGTCCTATAAATATCCTTTAAACAAAATGCACCAATGCTTGGTGTCTATCCATATTTAATTGAGTTAAAATTACTGAGCACAATTGTCATTTTTGGATGAATTATCCCTTTAAATATCACATCTGATAAGTGCGAATTTTGACACATTAAAGTAGAAATGTTAATAATCTAAATAAATAACATCTCTACATAACAAACCAAAATCATGAGGATATAGGCTATATTTGATGAGTGACGTCCTCACATGACATGTCACAAGACACTTGACAAGATATGTACTGTAGCCTCCTGTATGTCATTACCATGTTAAAACCAGAGAACTGCGACCAAACATCATAGCACAGAAATACGTCTATAAACAGAGTCTGAGTGCACGAAATAAAAAGTATGACACTTTTCACACTAGATACAGCACCATTTACTAATTATAAGTGATGGAGAGAGCATATGCACACTATTATGTGTCCATTAATAGCTAACCTGAACAGGTTTGATTTAAATTATACTTTTCAAACAAATAGATATGGTTAATACTTACCGTGGTGGCTGGTATGATAAGGAGCAGAACCGAGACTAGTCCGACACCGGGAGTCATGGTGTTTGAAACGGTAAACAGCGGTGCGGAAGTCAAATGCCATTTGTTTTGGTTGCTGCTAAAGCTAAGAATCATTCTTTAGAGTCGAGTCTTGAAGCAAATGAACTAGTTCAAAGAGTCGATCTGAATAAGTCATTCACAAATTGAATCCAACAACTAGACCAGGGGTGCCCAAACCTTTTCTTATAAAGGGTCACCAAAACCAAACTGTATTACTTTAAATTCGCCATGAGTAAAAGAAGGTCGCTGGTTCGAGCCTCAGCTGGGTCAATTGGCATTTCTGTGTGGAGTTTGCATGTTCTCCCCGTGTTGGCATGGGTTTATTTTCTGTGCTCCGATTTCCCCCACATGTCCAAAGACATGCTGTACAGGTGAATTGGGTAAGCTAAATTGTCCGTCTTGAATGTGTGTGAATGAGTGTGTATGGATGTTTCCCAGTGATGGGTTGCAGCTGGAAGGACATCTGCTGCGTAAAACATATGCTGTATAAGTTGGTGGTTCATTTCACAGTGGCGACCCCAGATTAATAAAGGGACTAAGCCGAAAAAAAAATGAATGTTTCAAATAATAAATGAGTGAGGGGGAAAGTTATGCTTATAAGTCTCCATGTGTTTTAAGGCGTGTTTATAAAAATTGGACGTCTTAATAGGGATTTTACAACATTTAAAATTAAATGTTAGTAAAAAGTGGAGAGATAGGGATAAAGAAGACTAGATAGATCATCATACATTGTAATCACTAGTCTTGAATCTTTGAATCGATTCATTAATCGACTCGCGAGAAATGATTCAAACATCCATGACTAGTTACTCTCCCAACCACTAGATGATGATGTCGACTCTCTGTTGGACTCTTGTCCTTTCTTCGACTCTCTAGGAAGCACTGGAGAGATACACGTGTGTTTCCGCACATGTAAGGATTGTATTAGTTCATATATTTCTACGTTGACACGACCCCAAAGATGTCCACATGTAAAGAATCAGACGGAGGCGATGCTGCGAATCTAGAAGGATCCGATAATGAAGTGGATTCTCCGGTTGTGAGTCGCACACGGAGCGGTCGCAGAATACGGACACCCGCGGCCAAAGCCCCCGTCCGCAGGACCAGAAAGTCAGTAGTCCCAGAAGAAGCGATAGACATCCATGAGGAACCTACAGAAGATGCTAAAACTGACCAGAGCAGTTCATTGACTGAAGCCGCGTGTCCAGATGTAAATACAGCTGCAGCAGCAGAAGCAAGTCAGGAGTCTGCAGTATCAGATAATGCACTTTTAATCGCTTCAGATCAGACCAGCGAGAAAGAAAATGTCGCAAATAACAAAAATATAGGATCCAGTGGTCCAGTTAACCCAGAGAAAGCGAACAAGGCCAAAAAGAGGACTCACTCTGAGTCCAGTGAGAAGAAAAGCAACGTGGTTCCTCTGGGAAAACCCAAATCTGGAAGAGTGTGGAAGGACAGAAAGAAGCAAAGGTAATTTATATGGTCACCATGTTTATTTTACTACAGTTTGTATTAATAGTAAACAATACAGTTAATTTCACTGAATAAAAATACCAATGTAACATGTGAATAGTTTCTAGTTATAAATAAAATGTTAAAGCAAACTGTACTAATAAACCAGTATGAATGAAATGACAACAAAACATTTATAACTGAAACCATGTAATGGGTTGAAGTTGGTTTTATATTCCCACGTTCATTCAGTGTCAACTTGTGATGTACTCATTATATTGTTTACCATGGTACCATTGGGTCTGAAATCACATGTTGGCTTCAAATCAACAGTAGCATTATTTATTTGACTGAACACTTTGTACTTTCATAGTCTTTGTCTTATAATATGACCATTGACCATTTATGTGAAGCTGCTTTGACACAATCTACATTGTAAAAGCGCTATACAAATAAAGCTGAATTGAATTAGAAATGGCAAAGACTACTTTTCTGAATGTGTAATTTTAAGGAGTAAGTCAGAATTCGCAAAAATAAAACCAACTTTATCTCAATTGGTCAGATAATGGTTTGTTTACATCCCAGCAAGCACTTAACATTCATTATTGAGGTAAAGTTGGCTTAATATTAGCTCATTCAGACTTTCTTCTTAATAATGTAATTTCAGTAGTCTTTGCAATTTTGCAAATTCTAAATAGTGACATCACATTAGCAGCCAACGACTATCAAAGTACAAAATTAAATAATGCTAATGTTGTTTTCAAGTCATACTTGCATGTAATTTCAGACCAAATATTCAAAGAGTGTGGTAAACAATATTGGGATGTCCTAGCATAGCATGTCACAAGTTGTCATTGAATGAATGTGCAAATATAAAACCAACTTTACCTCAATCCATATGGTTCCCTTTTAGATTGAGGTAAAGTTGGTTTTTATATTTGCACATTTGTTCATTTTTGAACAGTGACAACTTGTGACACAGTCCCTTTTTTGTTTGGTCTGAAATCACGTGCAAGTATGACTTCAAAACAACATTAGCACTATTTATTTGACTGTAAACAATGTTGTACTTTAATAGCCATTGGCTGCTAATTAGGGATGCACGATTAATCGAAAAAAGGTCTCGATTCTCCCCTACACACGAATCAGCCAGTTACGATACAGCCAATTATATTTTCAAGTCCAGGATAGAAGCGTATATGCGGTTGCACAAGACTTCACGTTGTTTCACATACGTTGCTCAGCAACATGGACACCTCTAAATGGGGTTAATAGTGTCACATTCTGTATTTTGGTATAATTCACCCAATATGTCATTTTTGTCTTCATGTAATGATGTATTTACGGCCATAAAATCACACATGAGATAGCGCACTGTTTGTTTACTACCAAGAGGATGCGCGCGTTCCCGCCATTCACTTCTACTTGAGTGAACAGAACCTGCATAGGCTGTGAATAATGGTTGATAAAGTTGTAAATAACGTTCAGTTTGTTGAGGTAAAGGCTGCCTGAACATTTAAATATTTTATTAATAATAATAATCACAACACTGATCTCAAAATGACAGCAGCCATGACGTGAGCGTACTCAACAGTGAAAAGCAAAAGCGAGCACATCATTTATGATCATATCACGTTTTAGAGTTATGATTATGACAAGCATGTTTTTTCTTTCATAGTCAACACAAAGTGTTGTGCATGAAAATAAATGTTTACAATGTCAGTACACTGCTCTAGTCTATATAAAGATGAATATAATGCAAAAGGGAATCTGATAATGACAAATGTTTCATTTTACCACTGAAAAAATGTTGAAATGATGTTGTCAATGACAAGCACATGTCTCAAACATAATAGTTCAACTTAAGAATTATGAATAGTTGTATTCTGATGTCTTCACTTTACTGGGAATTAACAAACAGGACAACTTTAAATCCTAAGTCCACCAATCCAAGTCTATACAAAATATAGCATTTTAACCAACAGTAGAGCTACACATAGGCCTAATATTATAATTGTTTATTTACCATATGTTTGAGAAGAAGCAGTAATAACGGCCTACCCATATTACCCTTTATTTTACATCTACTGAATCGTGAGAAAATCGTTATCTTAATTTTAAGCAAAAAAATAATAAAAAAATCATGATTCTCATTTTAGCCAGGACAATTTAGAATTTGCGAAGACTACATTGCTGAAATTAGGTTAAGGAAAAAGTCAGAATGTGTGAATATTAAGCCAACTTTTCCCCAATCCCATTTCAGTCCCATTTGGTTTGTGCACATCACATCAAACACTTAAACTTGCACCCATATGGTTCCAATTTATTAAGCCTTTGTTTAATTTTGATGACCAAAAGATAATTTTCTGGAAATGTTCTCTGTTATTTAATAAATTTCTTAGTTAAAGTTTTTCTTAGTTTTTTTTTTTTTTTACAATTCTATTTAAACCTAAAAGAAGACATCCCTGAATTGTTTTGCTGACCTCCACTGTCAAAAACAATACTGGTTACTTTCCATATTTAAGCTGAATTAAATTAACTTTGAGTCATTTGAACTTAAATTAAACTGACTTAAAGCAGCTTGCGTGACTTATAAAATGAAGTTGGAACAAGATTAACTTGTACATAGCTAAAAAACTATGTTGTCGTGACTAATTGATTATATAATTTAGTTTTTTTACAGTCTAGGCGGAAATGTTTATATAAAGAAAGTTGGCAAAGCAATGGAGAATGTCGAATGTTGGCTTTTTTTAGCCAGTGGTTTTCCTAAGAACCAGGGATAGGCCTTTTGTTCTGTATCATTGATATAATCCTGTGTTGTCATATATCAGTCTGTATTTTGGCTGATGATCTTATTCATTTAGATCAAACATCATTAAACAGTTTAATGGCGTTGGCACAGGTCACCTTTATCAGGCTTGCGGTTCCACTGCTAAAATGCAACCAATTGAACTCTTTTTGGTGTGCATGTTTTAGGACAAAGTTTAAATCGATGTTATAGGTTGTTCACATATCATATGAAAAGCATTTCTCACAAAACAGATGCTTTATACACATAAGTACTTCTGTATAAATGTTCATTACTAACCTTTCTATGAACATGATTTGATTATCTATGCAGATATAATCAGGCTGTAGTGTAAAATAGCCTACTGTAATGTCTGCAATTATATAAAATAAATAAATAAATGCAACATATATGAACACATACAGACCCTTACATTATGTTAGCAATTACAGAAAATCTTCACACAGCAGTCATTTAGTCCTTATTTGGGTTCAAAACATTCGCAACATAGCCCACAGTCAGTGCAAACCTCTCATTTGCATCTTTAAGGCTGATTTATACTTCTGCGTCAAACACCGGCGTATGCTACGGCGCTGACGCATAGCCCTTCGCCGTGGCCATCGCCGTCACTGACGTGCACCTCTCAAAAAATGTAACTACACGTCGCAACGACGCGTAGCGTAAGCTCTGTGATTGGTCGGTTTGGTAGCGCTGACGAGTCTGGGCGGGACTGAGAGCCGCGCGAGCGATTGTTTACATGTGTGGAGTCCCGTGAAGGAGCTCCGGATGGAAAGTTTTGTTTTGTGTTTACCTCATAGTTAAAGTTGTTGCACGTCCGCCGGTTCCTG